TTGTCTGAATTCCCAGTCTGTCTGTGTTGTTTCGAGATGTTAGTGAGCAGCCTTCAAAATGGTTGTCCCCAGTGCGACACCTAATACATATCCTGAAACCGCATGCCGCGTTCAAGCTGGCCATCTACACTGTTCGGACACTGATGCAAATCGGACAACAGATAGCGTTGGTAAGAACATTGGAAAGCCTCGATATCGATGTCTGCTGCATTTCGGAGACCAGCATTCATAATCCCAGCGAAGTGCTTCGATTATTCTCTCCATCTGAAAGTTCGAATAGTATGTACCACCAGCGCTTGTCCGGGGACCCTTTGGTGTCGGCGTCCGCTGTAGCTGGTGTCGCACTAAGCACTAGAGCGGGAGCTGCAATACTCGACTGGATCCCCATTAACAGTCGTTTATGTGCTGTGAGGATGAAAGGTTATACGAAAGTAAGAAGTAGTAGGCCAGATAGGCGGTGTCTATTTGTTGTCTCTGCCTACGCATCGAAGGTTTACAGCCCGGATGCAATTAAGGATGAGTTCTACTACCAACTGGGCGATCTCTTGAAACAGGAGGGTCGGAGGGATATTGTAGTGCTGGCTGGGGACTTGAATGCACATGTTGGGCGTCCAAGCTCAGAGAAGAATCGTCTAGGTGGTCAATGGGGCTTACATGGTTGCAGGTCAGATAATGGGGACCGCCTTCTGCAGCTTTACGCAGATCACAACCTATTTCTAGCCAGCACCAACTTCCGGCACAGCCGTCGCCGTAGCGCTACCTGCCGTCCTCCCTCTGCGAATCAAGCTGGGACTCAGATTGATCATATTGCTGTCAGTTTCCGGTGACGAGGATGCATACAAGGCTGCCGCTCCTTCTGGAGCACATGCCTGGACATCAATCATACGTTAGTGTGTGCCAGGTTCGTCTTGCGATTTGATGGTGTTCATAAATGGCGTCATCTAAATGTTGATGTGAGCAAACTGGTAGCACCTGCTACTTCTCTGAAATACCACAATCAAAGCTTGCTAACAACCCCCCAAGTAGTATTGATGAACATTAGCTTCATCTGCAAGTCACCATGTAAACGGCCGCTTGAGGCTTAAAAGTGCACTCCGCTAAAAACCACTGGGTTTCTGAGAGTTCCTTGCAACTCCCGAATGAACGCCCGTCCATTCCGGCTGGCAGTGAATAAAACAATATGCGAAAAGCACTTAGGCGCAAGATTAGACAGTGTTTAAGTAAGGACCACGAAGCCTGGTAGTCAAAACTTGCGTGTGAGATGGAGTCAGCAACTCCATTTGGCAATAGTTGAAAACTATTCCAGCTCATATGAGCCACTGGTAGCCAGAAACAATGTGTAAGTGAGATGGTCTGTGGGATAGATGGCACGCCGATTACCAGTCTGAAAAGACGCCTGGAACGCTGGGCAGGGCACTTCGAGAAAGTCTAGCTGGCCACCAGCTTCAGTATCCACTGTCGCTAGCTCCAATTCTTCTTGGTTGGTCAGTACCGACCCACCAATCGAAGCGGAGGTCCGTAAGGAACTTCGAGTACTAAAACGTCATAAGGCACCTGGCTCAGACAATCTACCCCCGGCTCTTTTTAAAGATGGTGACGAGACTCTTCTCATGGCTTTAACTGGGTTGTTCAGGGAGGTATGGGAAACTGAGTGTACCATCACTGTGGAACGAAGCAATTATCGTCCCCATCTTTAAAAAGGGTCGACGTAATTCATGTTACAATCATAGGGGTATCAGTCTGCTACCAGTTGCGTCTAAAATATTGGCTGCTGTCTTGCTCCGCAGGCTGTGCAAAGCACGTGAAGGATTGATTCGCGAAGAGCAGGTTGGGTTTCGTTCAGGTCGTGGATGCATTGATCATGTGTTCACCCTTCGTCAGTTGTTGGAACACCGCCACACGTATTGCAGGCCAACGATCGTTGTGTTTCTTGATATTAGGGCTGCCTTCGATTCGTTGGACAGAACTGTGCTCTGGAACTGTCTGTTAGAGAGAGGTGTATCTGCGAAGTCTGTTAACATCTTGAAAGCCCTATACAGAAACACCTCAGGTAGATTGAGGGCATACAACCAACTATCATCACTGTTTCCAACCAACAGTGGGGTTAGACAGAGTTGCCCGACCCCTCCATTTCTCTTTAACTTAGCCATCGATGACATTCTGGAGTCAGCTCTGAAGGATGTGCATGAAGATGGTGTAGATCTGCCCCATGGAGATAAACTTTTCGACCTCGAACATGCAGACGATATCGTGTTACTGTGCGATAACATGCAGACTGCCGAAATCGCACTTAATTAGTCGGTGATCAATGTCTGTAAGTACGGTATGTGCTTTGCACCGTCTAAGTGCAAAGTACTGTTACAAGATTGGCAGGAGCCTGTACCTGCACTTACTCTTGCGGGTGAACCGCTTGAAGTTGTTGATAAGTTTGTGTACCTGGGTAGTTGTGTGAGTGCTGGCGGAGGGGTGACGGATGAAATTTCCAACCACATCATGAAAGCTAGGGCATACGTTAACTTGAGCCACCTTTGGTGCCGTCGCGATGTTAGCCTGGTTGTCAAAGGTCGGATATACAATGCTTCGGTGCGGACTGTCTTGTTCTACGCCTGTGAAACCTGGTCTCTCTGAGCTAAAGATATGCGGTGGCTCTGAGTACTCGATCATCGCTGTCTTCACAGGATTGCTTGCGTTCGATGGCATCATCACGTGAGCAGTTATGAGGTTCGGCGGCGTGTGTTTTAACACAGTGGTGATTACCATTCGTTGAGTGTCGTCATCTGGAAACACCAGCTTCGGTGGCTTGGACATGTGCTGAGAATACCATCCCAGAGGCTTTCGTATAGGTCTCTGTTCACTAGCCCTGGGACGAGATGGATAAGTCGGAGAGGTGGCCCATAACATGGCGTCGCCGGATGAAGGATATTCGTAATCAATGGCGAACGTGCTGCAATCCCCTTCTTTCCTCCCCTCCCCATTATAGTTGACGAATGCTGTCCAAACTTGTTAAGCATGACCGTTTCTCCTCCAGATGAAGTTCTTTATCCATTCTCCACCTATATTTTTTACTTTTAATCTACGTTGTTTTAGTATTATTGTGTGGCGCATCTTCTTGGTGCCATATTGTACCAAGTTTTTGTGTTTAAATAAATAAATAGTAAAATACCGATGAATCACAGGATGAGTCATAAGATGATTACTATTTTAAGCTGATTCCTATCACCGCAAGCTTCTTAAACAGCTGAGTGAGTTCAAGTAGAATGCCTTGATTAGTGCGGTGCACTCCCTCCTGACCAAACATTGCCATGGTACCTCTTAGTCGATGGAATGGAGTCCCGCCTCCAGGTCCAGAGATATAGCAGTTATTTGATGCTGGTATGTTCCAGAATCTGTCATATAGTGAAAATATGATCATTACACCCTTTTTCTTGGTCTAAAAACTGCCTGGTCTTCTCGCATTTGATTCTCCCCAGTGCCACTTAATCTATGCACGATTATCGAACCTAGAACTTAAGATACCATATTAGTCAAGCTAATCTCCTTATGATTATCACAAGAAGATTAGTTTCCTTTCTTTGTACACTGGGATAATTAATGCCTTACACCAATGTGAATGAACTATCTGTGATTCCCAGACATTGTTTAATACCTTAGTTAACCCAGACAGAAAACCCGACACCATCATCCTTAAACACCTCTGTATTCATTCCATCAGAAGAGACAATGTGAGCTGGAGTACCTGGGCATCGACCCCAGTACCTCTTGCATGCTAGTCGACCAACCTACCTTTTGAGCTAGTACTCCCCTCTAAAGTGATATTATTTACCATGTGAAGTAACAATAAGAATAACCATAACCTCAGAATATCCACATTTCAATGAAAGAATTAATGTTTCTTTCTCAGTCCATCCTCGGTAAGCCTTTAGTGTCGAAATAGCATTCGAATCGCCAGGTACATAAGTATGTGAATAAATGGCAGCGGTTTCACAATTTCTCAGCCAGTTGGTTATACAAATCATGGGAAAAGTATTATTGAACCATTTCATCCCCTTGAATTCCCTATCTACATGTCGTCATTGACCAGTGGATTTTAGATTGCGACTAAATGTTCAATCATCTTACTGCTATGAGTTAACCTTGTATTCTGAATTTCATTCGTTCCATAAATCCACCATATTAAGTTATTACGCACGAGGCTATTTCGAACCCCAAAACGTCTCATCGTAATTCATTCACGAAGCTTTACAGAAATCCCTTGTTCAAGAATTTTCTTTTGGATGACTTGACCACTATGATCAGTGATTAATTACCACAGGTAGAATCTAACAAGCGCGGCTATCGATGCGTAACCCTTATTACACAGTGCAGGTTGACGATTATTTCTAGGAATCTAAGTCGAAATTTATAAGTTCGATTCTTCCATTTGAAGAGGTAAGGGAGACAATGAGTGCTATGCTATTACAAAGTTCTGCTTTCTAAACCAAAAAAATGAGGTTATTCAACACATACAGAGACAGAGGTTTTCGTCAAAAATAATCGCTAACGTTAGTTACCCCCAATTTAATCCTACCTCATATCGATACAGACTGACAATTTTCGAGAATCTGCAAAGCTACTTAATAAAATCGACTGTCATGTGTGAACTAAAAATTCAGGTACTTTTATCCTAATGCATTCGACGATACGTTTGCTGATACTTATACCCCCATTACTAACCTAACAACAACAAAACAAAAAACAGTGAAGGCAACAAACTCAAAAAAAATGAATATTTTTACTATAGTGGGAAATAATGCAACTTTGCAAGTCGTTATTTCATGCTGATTACAATAGATTTGAGAAGAGGAAAGACAAGCGATGGATCATTAACAATGGCAGTCAACATACACACATATCATCGCAGTAAGCGTACTCATTCTGGTAAATAAAACTAACACTGGATATATGAACAAAGTACAACCCTATATATATATATATATATATATATATATATATATATAAAGTGAGAGAAAGAGAGGGAGAATTGTGGGAAAGAAAACCCGAAGTGATACTGAAAATTAGACACCACAAACGAAACCAATAGAAAACGAACAAATGCAATGCGCAATTCCTGTTTCAAACTTATCAGCTGGAATATGTACGTATGTATGTATGTATGTAAATAAAATTAAACACTCCTATGAAGAAAACCACAAACTTAAGCGAAGTAAACAATAATGGAATTAAGCGGATAACAAATATTCCTCCAAGAAGTCAAATAATACTACTTGCTGAATTGTCATTGTTTTAATTAAGTAGTATGTATAAACGTGAACTGAATAATTGTAGAACAAAAAGAGAAACAGAGAGAGAGAGAGGGAAAGAGAATTTGTCTATACATTCGGACTGAAAATATGAAAAAGGTGGGCAAATGAAGTCTATTCGATTGTTGTTTATTTGTTGGTTGGATGGTTTGTTTTCGCATAATCTGTTCACATTAGGAGAAATCACAGTTCGCAAACTATTATCTGTTTTTTTTTTCAACACACTGTTTCTGTTTTGTCAATTTTTCTCCTTTGAATTTTACGCATCACTAGAGCTCACCAGCTCATTCAATCACTTAATATGCACTGACGGTATGAAAGTACAGTGTAGTAAGGGAATAAGTTAGTTAAGAGTAACACAACATGATCCCTTACAATAAATAATGATCGTAAAATTAGGAGAGAGAAATGATGTTGTCTATGCCCCCAAATCACCCGAGCTTACTCACTGCATAAAAAAAAAAACAGTAATGAGCATAGCAATAATGAACTATGTGGTGAGATAGTCTTCAAAGTCAATAGGTATAATGTAACGCACAATAGACGAACTGATGTACAGTTTTGTTTTTAGATATAGAAATATATATATATATAAATATATATGTAAATATATGCTCATTATAAAAACAAAATCAAAATTATCCATTTTTACATGTGTGTGTGGGGGGGTGTTTCAGCCATTATGTTGAATGAAATAAAATTTACAATAAAATGTGAGGTAGTCTCTTTCTTCTCTTTTGAAAACTTTTGAAAACAAAAATTAGATGAGTAACCACCTTCCACACCCCCACTGAAGAGAGAGAGAAATCATACTCTCACACAATTGAACAACAAATGTTTACACTTAGACGACTATGGTGAAAAACACGGTTGAAGAAAGATAAACACGCACGCAGGAAAAAACACGCTAGACATTATCATTTGCTTGAAATGCATAAAGGTGTAAATAACAATAATAATAAACATAATAATAATAAGTACCGATAATAATAATAATAATAAAAAGGAGAAGAATGCATAAAAGTATATTCATTGGAAACACTATACAGAATACGCATGATTATCACGATAGTCATTAATTAATTTCAAAGAATTCATGTGTGTGGTAGGCGGCTCATACAGAGCTGTAGAAATGAGATCGTAGGTTCGCGTATTCCAGCCATATGCGCATACACACATATACGCACACACAAATGCACTCACATTTATCCATTATAGAATACGAATAACAAGTGAGCAAGTGCGACATTATAGGATTGACAAAAAGAAGATTATAACTGTGACTGTGTATAAGCACATTTGAAAAATTGTAAAAGATGAGAGAATTACACACTAGTTGATAATGATAATGATCAGTCCTTCTTTCTTGTCAACTGTACATATAAAATAAGGACGAAAGGTTTTCACAACTGTATCTTTTATCCCGGTTTTGTTTCTTTCCTTCTGTTTTTTCTAACTTTGCCTATATTGACTCTATACACACAAAAAAAACTATGATGTAGAAGGATGGATGAAATATAGAAGAGGGAGGAAGGCAGAGATTGATAGATAGACAAACAGACAAACGCACACACACACACACACACAGACAGAACAGTGTAACTGGAGGCAGCCAAAAATAGGAAGACATGATTTCTCGTAAACAGGAAAAAACTCAAAGCATTACCATCATTATCATCATCACTATTATATAACGCGAGAATTCGATGACTGTGACATTGAGCCTTGTAATGATGAACAAGCGGCCGATGAAGAAGGAACTAGATTTGAGCCAATGTTTAAATTTCCGATATCAGTTGTAATTTGGTCCGTTGATGGAGGAGGGTAACGTGTTGAATTCATTGTAACATCTTGATTGCCAATTATTTTATATCTACCAGGTTTAGGCAGCTCTAAAGATCCTGATATATTGAAAAATATTTTACATGCTTTATTATTATGGTTGTTATTATTATTGTTATTGTTTAATTATGGTACAAAAATGCATTTTTCTTTTAATGATTCAGAAAAATTAACTCAAAGCCTTAAGTAAAAGTTGACAAGAAAAATGGTGATTCCGTGTTTCGGAGTTATTCAACCTTTCGCATAATTCAGTCGTTTTTCTCCTTCGACAAAGGCACCTTAATACATACAACGACTGAATACTGTAAGAATTATCAATGTAACCAGCATGGAATATGAATATGTATCATCTAAGTATTAATTTATGCGAATAACACGACACTGTCAATGGTGGTTATGGCTGAAAATCAATTCATCAAAAAATGGTTTTATTACATTCCCCACCTACCCACACCCACCCTGTGCACAATCATAGATTCGTTAATAATTGTAACATTGTAACATCTATTTCACAATTCACTACTTTCTCTTATACGTTGGTTTCAAAGTGTAACAATCGGAAGTGATAGAAAATTTGTGTGCAGACACCTACAGTGATCAATATTTCTATCTATATGCAGTTGAATTAATCACACTTACTTAGTGGAGCGTTGTTCAATTTCATCTGATATCATAAATACCCTACTAGTTTACTAATTGAGACCAGTAGATATATTTCTGATGAAATGATTCCAGTATAGTTTAGTTTACGACCGATTGTTTCATCCCCAAGTCAAAAACATTTCAAACAATCTATTAGTAGCTCCAATATTAAATATTAATAGTTTTATTTCTTTATTATATTCCTCTACGTTCCCAATGGGACAGAGTTTCAAGCTAGAGCTTTGAAGTTGCAGTGGTGTTCTTTTTCAAGGAGCGGAATTGCCACTCTAATGCCTAATCATATTTCGTCACCGGTCTTATTACCGGCCCAGAGAGGTTTAGGAGTGCGCCAGCCGGCGATCACAACCTGAACCACGTGTGGCGTGGTTGGCGAACATTCTACCACAGTACCATCCACCGACGCACTCTCAATATTAAATAAGTTCCAATAAAACAGATTATAAAGTAGCACTAAATATGCTACTGAAATCCTAAATTAAGCTGTTGAAGCCGCCCTATGTTCCATTCAGAGCCCAAGGGAACAATAAAAAATAATGATAATAATCTAAAATACGATGACAATGTCTGGAATCTATGTCACAGTCCTAATGCTATTTACCACCTCCCCCCAGCTTACGCTCATAAGCAGTTTTGTACAGTGAAACTGATAAGCAGGGTAAATAGAACCCACATGTAAATATATGATGATAACCAGCTTCATATTAACGACCGACATACACTAAACGATGATATCTTAACATCTAAGGTATACTAAGAAGGGTTTATCTTAAAAAGGGGTAAATATTATGAACACCTATATTTTCTTTTTTCAGAAACAAAGCAATCAGGCAATTATTAGTCGGTATTCACGAAAGTGAGAAAGTATTTCGTTCTGCATTCACGTTGGTAGACTTCTGTGAAATAAAATATTGTACCGAAGACAGTAAAGAAAAAAGTAAAGAAACATTTTGATATGATGCAAAATAAGCAAAAACCAACCTGTGTCAAACAGTACACCACTGGGATAAAGAGTTGCCGGCGGCAGCTTCATATGACCTGTTGAAGCAGCTGTATTTGAATCACCACCAGATCCCATGGAAGCATTATTCATAAGGTATGCTTGTGATAGGCGTCTAGCTTCCATGATCATAGAGGTTAACTCACTCAACCAACGAATACGCGATTCAGGTGATTTTGGAGCAACTATATAACACAAATGTGATTGTGGCGGTGATGTAGCAAGAGATGATTCGAACGGCGAACCAAGATAACGTGTTCTTTCTGAGAGACAGAACCATAACAGCTGTTCACCAGTAGGTCTTGAGCCACCAACGCCAACATCCTCCTATATGCACGAAGCGAATAGAGTAAACAAGGAGAATAATTGTGGGGAAAAAAGAATTGAAATAACAAATCTATAAACTCTCCATAATGACCTAGAACATATCACCACCCCGTAATACGAAAACATATATACAATGGAAAATGTTGAGGCAATTTGAATCGGTGTCCAATGCTTGAAATTAATTATTCTGAACTGAAATATCCAATACAGTCCTACAGGAGGTCAGTCGCGAGCCTGAATAGCTCAGTGGTAACGTCTCTGACTGCAGCACTGGGTGACGCAGGTTCGAATCTCAGAAGGGACATCAGTTCCTTCAAGGTTGCAGATACGCCTTGCTGATGAGTGCCAACTAGCACGAAACCTAGGTCCAAGGCTTCCTGCCGATTGCCTCCAACCATCTAATATAAACACACAAATACACCTATAACATGGATCCCATTTCCCCGTTGATATAATATAATATACTTATTAAAACTTTTCTATCTCGAAATTGTATGACTTACCAAAACTGATATCTGACTAATAGGCAGTGCATGACGAAATCGACATTGTAATTTCGGTTTATTGTTGTTATTACCGTTTGCTTGTTCTTTCTCTCCTGTTACATTATTATCATCAGACACTGTAGTCAATTCCATTGCACCATCCGCTATAATTAAAGCATGATCATAAAGAAATAGATGCCTGGTGACAAAATGCAACTCAACGCCTTCTTCAAGTATATCTAAGAGTAATTCTTCATCTTGACCAAGAAAATGAGAACTGCTAGTACTACTGTTAGTTGATACAGACAGATCTGGTGAACCAGTGGAATGAATTAATGGTACAGAGGATTTACAGCCGGCGACAAGTTTTGTAGCTACACTCAATCCACCATGTAAGCGTAAATTGCCTACACCGGATAAATTTGCACCTCCAGGAAGACCAATCAATTGTGGAATATCACCAAGTTGTGTTTGACTATCTCCAGCTACTTCTGCTACATTCGCCAAACGATGTACAGTTTTAACAAGCTAAACATCATGAAAACAATGTGAGAGAGAAAAAGAAACATTTCAGCAGGGAAGAAAAATAAATAAATAAATACTTTCCAATTGGTCAATAATGCGAACAAGGAAATGAAAACATCACCAAGTGATTTAATCAATAAAAAACAAAACTCCCTTTCCTTTCTCTGTCAAGCACCTTTCCTTTAATGGCTAGAGTCTGATATCAAAGGATAAAATAACACTTCAAATAAAGAGAGAAGTAGATTTTACATGATAGGAGTCATATGAAAGAAAGCCTCATTTCATCCATCTACTATTCATGTTTGTCACTCGTGATCTAAAATGCTTGCCGATAAGGTCACTGGATGACCTATTCGAATCTTCTCTCTTAGCACTATCAAGTATTCGTCTACATAGAAAGAAGAAAATCAAATATTTATTATACATTTATGCAGTAAGATGAGCCGCAACAAATATGTGATGATCAATCAGAAATATTTGACTAAGACGAAAGAAATGAATTAAGATTTCAATCCATAACTCCTTACGTCACAAATAAAAACACTCACATTCCCCTGCCAACAAACCATTTCTACAGTGATTACGTTTTGAATGATGTGCAGATAGAGACAATGGCTAACAAACTCATGGGCAGTAACAATGGATAGTGAAAACGCACAAGATTTCAAATATCAGTTGGTAATTCCGACTAATAAAGAAAATAAGGTGTTACAACACAACAAGCTATTTCATACAGTTGGCAATGAAGCCACGCCACCTATTATGTGATGACAGGTACTCTCACTCCTATCTAGCTGCTAAAACCCTAGTATATGGAGCGAGGGGTTCAAATCCATAACCGACACACTTGTTGGAAACTGATGCCTGTTGAAAACCTACAATCAAGTCACTAGCTGTAATGTAATCAGGGTTGTTAATATTCAAGTTCATGTTCAGTTTCCTTTTGGAACAAATAACTATTGCCTTTTTTAAAAATTTAAGGAAATTTGTCTTTATCGCACTGTCACTTTTTTTGCATTCCCTTATTCCATACCTTCCCCCTACACACAACCTACTGGTAGCGAACTGTTTGTTATTAGACGGCGGCATATCCCTTTGTATAATGAATGCACCGAATTTGTGTCCATTTTATAAATTGCGAACAAATAGATAACAATTATATTAAAAAAAATACACATATGTAAAATTATGAAACGATGGACAAAAAAAAGGTGAAAAGTTTGTTCAAACACAAACTGATTGTTAGAGAAAGACGCATGAAGCGATAATTTAGAAAAGGTAGGGGAAAGGTGCGGAGTCGGAAAATAAGCGTAAAGCAAAAGTCACCGATAATAACAACAAAGAGGAGAACTTTACGCTAACACCGAACCAACATGAAGCCTGTTAGATAATTAAAGTTTTATATATTATGTTATTGTACCAGCCAACCGAATCAATATCCTATCCTATCAACCCACAGTCAGTCAGTCAGTCATGTTGATATTTATCTTTTTCAACTACAACAATGAAAAATAAAATATTCACTACGCAAGAAATTATCTTCTACGCACATATATTCTTGAAAGTAGTCTGATGCACAGAAATCTAGAACAGAAGTATTCGATTGTATTTGACAAGTGATATACGTGTATACGACTGGATATGTTATCTTCACCAAATTTCTGATCAAGTTCAACCTTTATCATACATTATTATATATTAGTCTAATATACACACATTGTGGCATTACATAAAAATAGACGGCAGTACACGAATGCAGAATTATTGTGCATATAAAGCTTAAGTGTGTTGAGTGTTCGTGTTTATGTTAGTTAGCTAGCAAAGAGAGAATCACAAAAGTGATGAACAATATCGAGGGGTAATTATAGACAGAGATGTGAAACTAGTCTGGCATTATATAAAATGATATATGGAAAAACAGGTAACTATTTCATCTCATTGAGGTTTAGCAGCCATGCGCTAATAGATTATGCTTGTATTATTATTACTATTGTTATCTGCATTGTAAAATAATCACTTCTTATTAGAATCATCACACAATGGCTTAGAAGAGTGTGTCATTGAATAAGAGGAACACAATATCTAATGACCACTGTGTTGCATAAGATGAACCTATCTCCATCTGGTTTACTAAGTACATAATTATCAATTAACACAGTATGATTATATTTGATGGTTGTAGGCAGTCGGCAGGAAGCCTTCAACCTAGGTGTCGTGCTAGTTAGCGGTCGGTCGGTCGGTTTTCGACATAGAACTTTGCACATATGTGTGGCAGTTCAAGTCGCCACACTCCATGTAGCACACCAAGCAAGAGGAGAAAGTAGAACAACTGCATAATATAGACAGTAAACAGAGGTGTGAGACAAAGGAATAGTAATAACGGAGAACAAAACAGTTCCATTGGAAATCATAAGTCACAAGGAGTGGATGCATCTGCACAAGCCATTGAGAACGATTTAAGCCATGTCACCGGTTGTCTCCAACCATTGGTTTTTACCGTCCCGAGGACCCCAACCAGGAAGTCTACACCTTCCTACGTGGCTTAGACTAACTGTTGTGGATTTCATTGACTGGTGCCATGTTTTGGTTTGACCGCCGCTAGCTCTTTTCCAACCTGGCCGTATATCAGCAAACATTGCCCGTCGAGGAAGGCGATGGTGCTAGTTAGCAGTCGTCAGCGGGTTCGAATCTCAGAAAGGATATGAATTCCTTCGAGGCTGCAGATATGCCTTGATGACGAGTGCCAATTAGCACGAAAACTAGGTCCAAGGCTTCCTGTAGCCGATTGCCTCCAACTATCTAATATCATCAAATCAATGTGCACTGTGATGGCGAGCTACCTAGAATGGTGGCCACATTACAAACCTGATTGATAGAATTCAGTCTGCACTAAAGAAAGGACTAGACACATCACACTAGTTACTAGTGTCCAATCACAGTATGATTATGTCACAGTTTATTTACCGATGGTCACACCTGTATGCCAGGTAAGAAAGTTTACAATATTAAATTCAAAATATACTTCATATTGGTGTTAGAGGTGGAAACGTTGCCGACTGGGGAGAAGGAAAGCTCCAGAATTAGTCGATCACATCCAGCTCAAGAAAAACACAAAAACACCAAGTAAGCAGGGCTTATAAATTCGTACTTTTTGTAACTACTTAAGTGTATCCCCTGCTGATATACTTTATCTTAAGAAAGAAAATTTTCAAAGACAAGGATATTATCATGCATACACCACATGAAAGTGTCATAAACAAAAGAACACAGTTATTTTCTAGTTAAGAAGTTAAATTAGATTCGAAAAAGGTAGCCTAAAGAATCCTGAATCACAATAGGGAATTCGTGTCAACTGAACAGACTGATGTGTATAATGTTGTCATACATCCAGTCTTGTTGAACAAACCGAAATAAGATGGAATCTACTCGAGTAAAAAGTGTTTTAGATTTCAATTGGTGGGCGGTGACTAGCAGTGGAATCCAGGATGAGCATTTCGTCCTATTTGAGACTCGTTATCTAGATGTACCTGCATTTCCCAGTGGGTGATGATGTCCCTCCCACCAAGGCTCCAACCCAGTGCCCATAGTTTAAAATGCCAAAGCGTTATCCACTAGACCACTTAGGCCACGAGAACCATCTCTTGTGCAAAGGGTCATATTAATTTAATTAAATCCCCAGACGTCGTCAAAGCATCTGCACAAGGAGCCGATATGTCAACGAGCACTTCGGTCCAATCAATCGACGGGAAAATCTAAAAAATCCATTTAAAGTGTTTTAGATTGTTGAATTAAAGTTCTCAGTGAAGTTGGTATATTTTCATTTATGAAGTCGTAAATAGTTATCCCCACAGAAATACTGACGGTGGATAGATACTCGTAAACGCATGCAGTGATTACAACTCTAACTGAACAGGTATATATTTTCCAATTCCCTTACTTTCTGAGTGGAACATAGGGTTAGTTAAGTTAAACCTTTGCAGTTTCAGTAGCAGTGGTTGGGGTAGCTAGTCTTATGTCCAACCTTCTCTCCACACCGGACTTAGTACCAGCTTAGTGAAGTCGAAAAGTGCATTGGTTAATCACGGATCGAATCCCGAACCGAGTGTGGTGTGGTTGGCGAGCATTCTGCCGCTGCTGGACCACCACCGATGCACTTCAAGAACAGGAGCATGTTGTACTTTTATCTAACAACGTCTGAATATAACACTACTGTTATAATCACTCAACAGACCGGAAATCCATCAAATTTCTTTATTCATCCATCATAGATAGACGCATACATAAATGTATTTTAAGGATTATGTCAAATGAATTGTTAGTGAAGTAGAAAAAAAGTATCACACACCATTAGTTTTATTCTTTTTTCTTCAACTCACATTTATAACTTTAATTTCTAATGAGAGATTAAAAGACAGAAAATTGTTGAGAAATTATTATTATTAGTGGTGGTAGAAGTAGCATGAGGAACTGTATATAAGTGTTAGATCTAATCGAGAATCACTGAATCCTAACCCTTTCAGATCTAATCGGGGTAAGTAAGTAATATTACCCCTTAACAATGAAAGAAAACAGGACTCAAGCTCAAAGAATTCCTTGGTCTATTATGAAAATATTATTCCCAAGGATTTCGAGTGGAACAGAGGACTTCAACAACATATCTCTACTATGTCCTGTTTTCTGAGTTGCTTTTTAGCTAAGCGTGATGTCACCCGACGGTCTCCTCAGCGTATCCGACCATCCTCATTTTCCTCGGGATATTTGCTGAACAATAGGTACTTGCTTTATTGCTAGATTTACTTGTTGCTAATCCTTTCCTGTCAGTCATCTGATCTTCAGTATGGAGTGGAGCAGCTGTTGACAAAAGTTTTCAGCCTGCTTTTCATGACGCCATCGGCAAAATTTCTTGTCTATATAGGAGAACTGATTGACTTAACATTTGTTCTCTGCCCTGAATGCAGCAGATTTCCAGACTGATTTCAGAGTGATGAAGGTTTGACTTGCCTTTCTGATCCTGAGAAGATTTGACATCCTCATCCGTGTGGGGTGTCCATAACTGAGACGATGCTGTCGAGATACGTGAAGTGACCTGGTGCTTATTGTTATTGTAGATGAGGTGGTCTCGTCTCCTCCGTGTTTTTTATATTCACTTGAAGTCCCATTTTCCTGTTTCTGCTGCCAACGTGTTGGTTCTCTTTGACTTTTTCCTTTGATTTGGTGAAATGATAATACTAGTGACTAATAATAATCAATTACAAGTGATCTTTTGGTTTAGGTAACATAATAGAATGTCATCTGAGGAATGAAAATCATAATGTCTGGTGTCATAAAAACCGACAGAAGCTTAACAATAAGATAGCTGTGTTTTGCAATTTACGAGTGGAGACGTAACCTACCTGCATATAAGCACTAAACTCTTAGCCAATTGGTCCCGGACTAGAACCCTACTCGACTTACTTCAGCCTAGGGGAATGCGGCAAAACGTCATTTCAACCCTCCATCTTATATACAATAAGTATGGCCCATCGACTGACAAACGAAAAATCTGTTCCAAGTAACTGAGTTCTTTTTTCATTCCTTTATGTTTCCAGTGGAACATAGAGCTTCAAGCTAGAGGCTTGAAGTTTCGGTAGCAGTAGTGTTTATTTTTTACGCGATAGGGTTGCTAGCCTCATACCCCACCTTCCCTCTTTACCAGTCTTATTAGTGACGTCGGCCGGGGATCGAACACCGGACCACATGGGTGGTTGGCGAGCATTCTACTGTTGTGCCACCAACGCACACAACTGAGTCCTATTCAACTTAATTTAATCGCAATCACAAAAACCTGTTCGCAGCATTCATTGATCATATTGGATAAGTAATATAATAATCTAACTAGAGTGTATGTACAGTTCATAAATTTCTAAATAAAATTTTTCGTTAAATTTATCAAAAATAGGAAATAATAAGACAAGGAAAACACTGACTCACCTTATCGTTAGAAGTTTCATTAGTTAGATTATTGTTACCAATTGTACTTATTGTGGTGTCGTTATTATTATTAGTAGTAGTAGAGTTGTTTTGTAAATTATTCAATTGATTTGGATTAGTATTCACAGTAACATCATCTAGAAGGAAGTGATTATCACCATTATTAGTATTATTATTACTATTACTATCTGATTCTTTCATAGTTTTCATGTCTAATAATTCATTTACAGTTGAACGTAACGGTGCTTGTATTTCATTCATTGGTGGGGGTAATTCAACATCGACGCTTTCTTCGGATACATTGTCTAGTAATAGACCGCCAAGTTCTGCTGTCTTTTGTTGTTGTTGTTGTTCACTGTTATTGGTGCTAATTTGACCAGGTTTGGCTTGAAGTTCAGCGACTGATGTCGGATTGATAACCTGTTGTTAAAAATAATAGTCGAAAGTGTAACCATATAAACCATGAGCATATAGTTGTACTTTATTTAAGAAATAACAACACAATGAAGATACTGAAGGCAACAACACTAACACGTTATATACATAAATACACATCCTAGGCTAAAAAGATAAAATACACAAGAATGCACAAAAGATTATCCTTTATTTGTTTTCTCCCTGAGTTTTGATATTTGATGAAGATTCCTGAGCAACACCACCGACAGCAATAACAGCAACAGAAAACAATCAGCATAAATGGAAGGAACCTGAAAGAAACAACCTCCTTTACCTACCTGGGAAGCATCATCTCAATTACAGGCAGAACTGGTGAGGATATCAAAGCAAGAATCGGAAAAGCAAGACAAGCTTTCACTACTCTCAAGCCTGTGTGGAGGTAAACAGCACTCAGCATCAAAAATAAGATCCGGATTTTCAACTCCAATGTGAAGTCAGAGCCACTTACTATACGGGTCAGAGACTTGCACTGAGCGTCATAAAGAGCACATCAAACAAACTACAGACCTTCATTAACAGTTGCCTTCGCTCAATACTCAAGATCAGATGGCTGGCTAGGAAAGATCAGCAACAGAGATCTCTGGCAATGAGCGAACCAACCAGGAACCGGTTGTGAAACAAATAGGCAGGAAGAAATGGAGATGGATTGGCAATACTATGAGGAAACCATCAAGTGACATCACTAGACAAGCCATTGCTCGAGTGGAACCCGAAAGGGAAGTGGCGAGTTGGTCGTCAGTGCGAGGGTGGGTGACTTGGAGGAGGTCATGTGAAGAGAAGATGAAAACGTGTGGGCAGACTTGGAGCCAGGTGAAGACTCTAGCAGAGAACCGAACGCAATGAAGACGCACGGCTGAAGCCCTATTTTCCTCAAGGAATTAAAGGAAACAATAATAATAATAACAATACTCACCCTGATGTAATGAAACAACAAAATATCTAGGCTAGTCAGACTTGACTGTAAATTCATACTTCTTTTCAGTATATTTTTTAAGAAATCCCTTCTTTGATATGCTGTCATTAATGACACTGAGATAATGATAGAACTGAAAACGCAAGATTACGCCTACAACAAGTATGACGTCAACACAGAGAGCGTACAATAACTGACTATTTCTCCATTTTGATTTTAAAATAGTGGCCGAAGTGAATTTGTGAGATTGTGTAGCAGGGGAAGGTTTGAAGTGCAGTCAAATAGACTCGACTGAGTTTCTTTGATTGGTGTGAAACGAGTATATATATCATTCCAATTAAACACTTTATAACTTAACGTAAAAATCAATTAGCGAAACTAATTGAAATGTTTTGAAATAGTATATAGTGCATATAATAGTGCATACCTGAGACTGATTAATATCCACCTTTGATCCTCGTTTACCCGGTGCTCCACTATTTGCCGAGGTGACTGTACTTCTTCGACCACTACCAACTCCCGAAGGTAACCATTTACGTACTGAGGTACTGCCTCGTCGAACACTTGAAGACTGTCGAGAACTTGATGTTAATGATTTACGACCACACGGTGCACCAATAAGCTTTGCTGGAATAAAGCCTTCCTTAGTTGGTGAATTAGTAGATGTTGCTGTGCCACGCACAATCACACGAATAAGAGCCCAATCACCGGTTCCATTAGGATCATATTTTGGCGTAGTACTACCATCATTTTCATTATTTTCTGTAGGGATATTCGCCATGATAGGTTCATCACATCGATGCAATAACTGTACAATCTGATGTGCTGATACCGAAATTTCATTATCATTTTCCGCCTTACAACATAAAAAGAGTAAGTAATGGTAAATATTATTTAAGTTTTAAAGTATGAAATATATACGTCTCACTGACTGACTGACTGGTTTCAACAGAGAACTCTGCACAGATATCCAGCAGTTCGAGTTGCCACACTCCATGTAGCACACAGGGCAAGATAAGAAAGTAAAGAGAAATGCAAAATAAAGACAGCAATCAGGGTATTAAGGCAAAAGGAATAGTAACATGGAAGAACAATATAGTTTCATTGGGTATTATAAGTCACAAGAAGTGGATGCATGCATCTGCGCCATCACTGAGAACGATTTTCAGCCATATCACCAACTACCTCCAACCACTGGTGTTTACCATCCCGAGGATCCCAACCAGCCAACAAGTCTACACCTTCCTACGTGACTGGCTGACTGGCTTAAGCTAACTGTTGTGGATTTCATTGACTGATGAAGCCATGTTTTGGTTAACTCTTTTCCAACCTGATCTATCCTATGTCAGCTGACTAGCATTGCCCGTTGAGGAATGCGATGATTAGACATACGTAACACATGTCCTAATCACCCTAATCGCTGTAACTTCACAATCTCGTCGATTGATTTTCCCTCCTTACCTAACCTCAATACGGCTCACCCTATATATGTCTGTGTACTATGTGAATAAAAATCGAACACACTAGAAGTAACAGTATCTTTTAACAGATAATCTATCAGTAAAACCTTTTTTTAACATCATTTTACTACTATTATTTATTATTCTTTTCTTGTGCATACATTCCCTTTTTTTATTTATCTCGTTTATCTCTTTTTCCTACTACAAATGTCACCTGAATTGATCACTGTTCCGAAACAAGTTATCTTTAGCTCACATAACTAATTATGTGCATATATATATAGATTCAATTGGCAAGAAAAACGAAAATGAGGACAAAACAACCATCATATATAAAAACGCGTATAACACCAAACTAATTTGAAGACATTGAATATATATCACACACAAAAACAATTCAATAACGTATGATTGAACAGCAGACAAGTATTAAAACCATAGTAGGTGTATAGTATCAGACGTATCAAGAGGCGAGAGCGGTAACCTAATGTCAAAATCAACAATAATCATACTGTTTTTTTCCAATCAGTGAAATGAATAACTGTGACGCCCCTTCCCATTCATAAAAATATGCAGAGATAGACTAGCTAGTATGATTCAAAGAGAAGCTCTCCGTTGTGATTATGCAATCGTATTATATTCACACTCATATATCTACTAATTGACAAGTGGGAATACTTTCTTCACTGTCTGACTTTTTAACTAACGCAGAAAAACGGAAGAAGATATAATCAGAACACTAGTTACCCCGAAACAGATTTTTTATATGGCAGGCCATGAGTTATACAATTATTGTATAAGGGCTGGTGATATACTAAATACAGTCAGGTCACGCCGAATGAAGTAGAATGGAGAAAGATTCGAACCCCGGACATTGCTAGATAAGATTCAAGTGCTCATACCAATGAGGAATATTATAAGAGTTGTCAAACTTGAGAGAAACTCGAATCCCTACAGACTAACTTTTGAAAATTAATCTGATACTCGCTAGTACCTGGCTACAGCACGACGTTGCCTGGGGTTTTAGTGAGGAACTGTGACCAGTGGAGTACAAATATTCGCCGATGACTACAATGACTGGTGGTCGCACTAAAATCGCGAATTGGTAGAAGTTGGAATTCATGCACTGGCAATTGAATTGGATCCCATTGGATGAATGGTCTATGGGTTTGACTTGTAACCCGAAGGACCTAGGTTACAACTCCGATGTGTGTGTGCACTAACAAAGAGTCCCAAACTAGGATGAAACAGTTGTCTAGTACTCCCTGGTTTTCAGTGGTTCAATCCGTCGTCAAACTTGAGGCAAAATCAAATCCCTATACAACTAAATCTTGATTCTTAATTACCACTAAGTCATACAGAACTGATATCACTCACACTGTTTGACAAGGAACTAAAAATAAAATAAACTGACTGTGTCAAACAAATTGTTTAAGCTGGTAGATAACTCACCTGATAGTTCTCAAGGATATAGAAAGTATCGAGAGTTTCAGCTGCATCGTCGAACAAGTTTGCTGCATTCGGATTTTGATTCTGGTGTTGATATAAACTTTGCACACTGAATACACGTTCACGCATCACTTCTCTTAATGCACGAACCCAATTCTAACAATTACAAAATGGAACAGACATGCAGAACTCAGTGATACACACTAGAAAAAGTATACAGATATGGGAAACATTGGAAAAACAGAATAATAAAATTTTTTACACTGAAAATTAAAAAGAAAATACCTTAGTAAAGCACAATTTTGAATCCACAAACAGAGATACGGTGATTATGATTATTCCACAACAAATATGACAGAAAGTAAACTAAAATAATGTACACCGCAACACTTTAAATTATGATGTGCTCAGTTGTCAATAAACAGTAAGAGCCAATGTAACTCACGGAATCAACACAGAAAATACTTCATACATACATGTGTGTGTGTTTGTGTACGACAAAGTAGTCTGCATTCTTTCTCTCTCTGGTTTGATACAGGCCTGCTGAAGTGGAAATATTCACGAAGTATCTATCAACAGGAGACAAACTTATATACACACTGCAATAATCATGTAGATATCACTTCAATCGTGTTAATTAACACCAGCTTACTTACACCAGTGCCACAAGCATCTTTTTACTCTACTGTATATCATATTATTATTATTGTTCCCTTAGGTTCCTAGTGAAACATAGGGTTTCAACTGCACGTCTTCAATTGTTTCTGTCTTCTGCTGTACTTTTCACCTGCATCCATGTTAGTCCATACTGTCTCAACTCCTCTTCACACGATCTCCTCCATGTCACCCTTGGAGGTCCCACTCGCCGCTTACCTTTCGGGTTCCACTCGAGCTATGGCCTGACGCACGATGTCACCCAAAGGCCTCCTCAGCGAGTGTCCTATCCATGTGTTTCTCACCTTCCCGATTCTCAATTTGACATCCTCGTCCGTTCCTCCTGTAGTTGAGACAATGCTCCCTAGATAAGTGAATGAGGTAACCTCTTTCAAATCCCTCCTGTTGATGGTGATTGGCGCTGGATGTTGCTGTTGTTGTTGTTGGTTGGTTATTTTCATAACCTCCTTCTTGTCTATGTTCACCTGGAGTCCTGTCTTTGCTGCTTCTTCGACCAGTTTGTCAGTTTTCGCTTGTAACTCTTCGATTTTGTGTGACATCAAACATAAATCATCCGCGAAACTCAGGTCTTCTAGGTTCTTCACATCTGTCCAGGATATCCCTGTCTTCTCGTTTCCCACTGTCTGACGCATAATCCAGTCCAGCACAACTAGGAATATCATTGGTGATAATAAGCACCCTTGTCTGACTCCTGTGTTTACTCGAAACGCCTCGCTGAGTTTTCCGTTGTGGATCACTTGACATGTGCCGTTGTCGTACATCTGTTGAATAAGGTTGATGAATATTTGGGGTACACCGTAGTACTCGAGTAGTTTCCAAATTACTTCACGGTCAACGTTGTCGAAGGCCTTCTCAAAGTCTATAAAGTTGAGGTAGAGGTTTGATTGCCATTCCATGCTTTGTTCCGTGATGATAATGCGTAGAGTTGCAATTTGGTCAGAACATGATTTGCCTTTCCTGAATCCAGCTTGTTCTGGTCGGAGTTCTGTATCCAGTGTGTTCTTTGTTCTCTCCAGGATGATGCGACTAAGGATTTTACTTGGCGTCGACAGGAGGATGATTCCTCGCCAGTTCTTGCAGAGTCGCGTTTCTTTGGTAGTTTCACGAGGTAACCTTTCCTCCAGACAGTAGGCACCTTTTCCTTCTCCCAGACTTTTTGCAATAATGAAGTCAGCATATCTGCTGTATGCAGAATCAAATATAGCACATTACGTTACAATATTCTCGAAAACGATTTGATCACAAAACTACCAGAATGTCTAAATGGGTGATTTCCACTAGCTGACAGCTCAATTCTTCACACTTCATGAAATCACCCTAGTCAACGATGATTTTTGAATGAAAATAAAGAAAATGGAAAATTAATGCTTATAACTTGTATGGATTAACCCTTTTTTTTCTGTCTGTCTGTCTGTCTACTTGTCACGCTTACTGATGTGTAATAATGTAATGGTAACTACCACAGCCTAACAAATCACCCCCTCTCTTTCACTCAGTACATTTTGAGGTTACTCAATTTATGTGATTTATGTTGTTAATGCTGTTAACAACTGACTTGTCTTGAAGTCTAGACAAAACTATACTTTATTAGAAAGGATTAAAATGATAAAGAAGCCAATCAAAAACTTGGGTAGACAGGTTATCATAAAAACTTTAGAAAGTTGATTAATAATCCCATACACTTTATGTCATGAAACAATCTGACATCCACGTTAAAAAAAAAAATAATACAGGAAGGAAAACAACAACAGTCTGTAAAACTTCATAAACTAGGACATATCAAAATCAACTATGCTATGAAAAATGGCAGAAAGAAATAATAACAAGTGGTCACTTCTCATCTGGGCAAAAACATCCCTCAAATATGATATGACTAAACAACTCAATATGGACAATAAAGACAATTTACCTGTAGGAAAATAGGTTCAAATCATTTGCATGTGTTTGCTATTGAAACTACTACGCATATATATTGACTAACTGAAGTGTAGCAATTCAAGTTACCACACTCCATGAAGCACACAAAGGAAGAAAAAAGAGAGAGAGAGAGAGAGAGCAACGGGATTCAAAAGTACTATAGTAAGTAGAAATGTGAGGTAGAAAGAACACTGTCTAGCTCGACTACCAAAGGAAGAATCTAAGTGAGGATGTAGTTCGATAAAAGAACATCTGGTGAACTCAGGGTATCATCCAGCTCCATTTTAAGTCCTACAAAGTCAGATACAAGACCGAATCAGACCCCTCTCAATGGTAACACAGAAAAAACTGACGGGTTAAGTGGACATGGGAGGTCACAAAGAGTGAATGCATCTATGCCGTTGAGAACGATTTTGAGATATATCATCCAGTCTGAATCCATTGGTTCGTAGAACCGCTAGGACCCCAACCAGGTAGTGTACGCCTTCCTACATAGCACAGACTAACTGCCAAAGATTTCACGGACTGATATTGCTAGGTTCTGATCTGACTAATTCTAACCCTTCGCGCTACCCTAATGCCAATATCAGCTGGCACTCCTCATCGAGGAAGGCAATGGACTCTTAATTCGCAATACGTTTCCTAGCCATTGTAATCGACTAAGCTTCAAAACCTCATAGACCCACTTTCCCACCTTATCTAACATTCGACGCCCAACCCTAATGTTGCTCACTAGATTATACCACCTAAACACGGAAGACAGGAAGTAGATAACCATGATCCAAGACAGCTAGTCTTTTCATATCATCCACTTTGAATGGTCATACCTGACAACCATAAAGGAGGACAGAGAGAACAACCGCACACACAATACGCTTCTCCTTTAATCGATATAATCAGATATCACGTGTGTCAAAGATAATATAAGTTGGCGAATCCCACACGAGCCTTTTGTAACCAAGTTAAGATTTCGTCAGAAATCGGTTCATTGGGGCTGAATTAGGAGTGGTCAACACTTCACTCACTATCTTTAAGCTATGCGCATATATTGTTATACATCGTCTGAAGCGAAAAGACAATCCAATTGTTTTATTTTAAATATTATCTCTACGGAAAACTTCAATAGATAGATAGACAATGATAAATTATGCGCTACTAACACACTCACCTGTTTTAATTCAAGTGTTCCAGCTTTCAAAATCATACGATATTCATGAATCGGTGGAATCCGACCAGTCCATAGGGCAAATTTACACTGATCCCCTTCAATATGCTCAGTGATATTACAATCGGCTAACAAAAGTCGTGATTTATAGATGTACCTTTTTATTGATTTATTTCAATGAAAATAGAAAGAAAGAAAAAGAGAGAGATCGTATAAAATGTTATGTAACGAAAAATATTTAATAAGACCAAAATGTCACCGAAGATGACTGACTGACTGTGTGTGTGTGTGTGAAGAGGCCAGAGACAGCGAAAGATGAAAGCAAAAGTGATCACATACTGATAAACACCGAAGAGAAGAATAAATGAAATATATATATGGTACAATAAAATAAACAAAAAGATACACAAATATGTGCGCGGGCTATTCGCCTGATGAAATAAAACCTGTTAAGCACACAAATTCATTCACTAATACACTAAGTACACAAATCTTGGCTTAATACTAGATCACTACATATTGCCACTTACATATATATGTATTAGTAATGATTAAAATATCGAATATAAGGGCGTAAATACAAAGATGATTAGAGAAGTCGAGAGAGCATTTCGCCGCCAACAACTTGCCAGCCCTTAAGATGACATGCTGCTTTCTTTCAAATTCGATTATTTTCTTGACAAACTTAAAGAAAATAATTTCAACAACTTATATATTAGATACAAATCTAAATAACTATATTTGTCGTATCTTTTAATTCAATTAGGCCTAAATTAAGACAATGAGATCATAATAGGCAGTTAATTAGTGTAACGATGAGAAGCAACCACTAAAATACACGATATATAAGGGGAAAAAGGTAAATGATGAGAGATCATAGGTAATGGAGAGGAAAGAAAGTTCGAATTTCAAGTCAATAAAAATGACCAATAGAGATGTAAATCAACAAGCAGTTACCACAGTGATTTCCAGGTGACGCAGTTATAAGTTCATTACATACTAAAAACTTGCGCTAAAGATGTTGTCTACAAGGATGACGAAAGTTTCTCAATTAGATCAACCAGCTCAGAGAACACAGCTAATTCAAAATTCCCCACCTGAGCTACAACAAATCTTCTCTCTATTATTTCAACAGAGAGATAGTTAAGCTGATAAGTCTCAAGTATGAATGACTGTCATCCATGCAGAAATCTGCACAAAAGTACAGTACACTTCAAGATTTAACATTTCGAGATAGAAAAAGAACCCATAAAAGAAAGCACATAGAGAAGAAATGTAATCAAACTACAGTGGACGAAAATGCAAAGGAGAGAATAATTAAACCAAGATTAATGGACATTTTGGATAATGAACAAGCGTTAGTGAATACGTCTGCAGCAAAAGAACCCTTATGAGTCACTGAATCACACCGAGTCTCCACCCATTCAACTAACAGAATCATGTGAGAGAATCAATATAATGTTTGCATCCCTACTGGGATGCTGTCTCGAACATTTTCATGGCCAAAGAGTTCATTTTTCTTCTTAACATTCTATTTCTTTTTTCTCCTTTCTTTTTATGCTTTGGTGAGGAGTGTGACAACTTCAATCGATATTACTTCTGCACTCCAACTTAGATCCTTCAGGAATGTCTAGTCAATTATTAATAGGGAACAACACCAAATAGTAATCAGAATCGAATCAGATGTATAAAACAAGAAATCTGGAATCACGAGCTATCGAAAATCCACTCTGACTAGAACATGTTGTACTGTGTGTGCTACACAAACTTCAGCACCTATAAATCTTTGCACAAGTAGCAGAAAAACACAATGATGATAATAAATTGTTGAATCTCTATGGATTTGACTGAATTCACTAGTGAATTCTATAACAAATAGACATTAGCGTGGACAAGTGGACAATGACATGAAACAAATGCTCCAATCTCCTGGTATATACATGGTGAGTGCTACTTATAATCCGATATAAGTAGTATATCAGAAAGCGAATTCAGAAAAGTAACAATATATTTTGCACACTGGAAAGAGCAATCAAAGAAGAGAACTATGAGAAGAATGTTGCCATATGATGCAGAATCCAAGAAGCTATCGAATGTGACGATATTCGACCAATTCGTCAAGGATGTTGTAAATGATGTGCAAATGGCGGTTTGAGAATATGGTAGACCAAATTTACCTATGTACAATACGTTTCCCCAAATAAACATTCCTTCCAGCCTCCTCGATCTTTTCTTCTATATATATTCTAGCATTAACTAGTCTGTGCTGATTTGTGATGATGAGAACTACGCTGAAGACAATAAAGACCTCGTAAACCCAGCAAGGTAACAAACACAACCAGAATAGAATAGTTTCCTCTCTCTCTCACAACAAAAAAACAAAAACAAGGACCAATGTTAAAATGAATGAATAATTAAAAGAAAAGTGAGAGAAGCCAACAGAACAGACATTAGAGTTACCAAAAAAGGAACCACAATTCACAACAGGATATGTGTATGACGATGTTTGATTTTTTTTATAAAACAGACTACAAGGACTTAGACTATAGAGTCAATTCGATTAAAGTGTCAACAACGTCCCGTGTTTACTGGGTTTTTTTTGCAATCAAGCAACCTGCCTGTCATACACACACATAAAAGGAATTAGCCTACAGAGATTTTCAAAAGATAATAAATAATAAGAAAAAGAAACCGATATGAAACAACAAAAGAAACTAGTAGCAATACAGTGAAGAGGGAAAAAGAGAAAGTTGTGTTACGGGTTATCCTAAGACATTTATTAAGCTTTAGTAACTAGCAGAGGTGCGTCGGTGGTACAGCGGTTAGGACGCTAGTCAACCTTGCGCATAGTCCTGGGTTCGATCCCCGGCCACTGACGCACTCCTTTACCCCGCTAAGCCAGTAATCAGACTGGTAAAGAGGGAAGGTTGGACATGAGGTTAGCAACCCCATCCTGTAAAAAGTAAACAACTGCTACAGAAGTTTCAAGCCTCTAGCTTGAAGCCCTATGTTCCACTGGGAACGTGAAGGAATAACAAAAAAACAGACCATACATAACTCAACTAAGAATGTGAATAAGTACGCCTTCTAGCCTAACAGCAAATATTGATTTCTCTAGAGCGTTTCAATATTGACCATTTAGAAAAACATATTCAAAAGCTTTAAAAAGAAAAACAAACACTTATAAGTGTTATAAAGAATCACATCACTTTTTCAAAAATCCCTCTTTACTAAACAGGACAAATAATCACGGTTCACTCATTCAGAGAACCAACGTTTTGTCAGTTCTTTCACATGAGTTCAAACTCTATAACCGCCACTAACTAATAGTGATGACACATTAGGCATAACAAATAAGGTGGTGTTAAAGATGTCTTCGCCGACTAACTTAAAAACCATCTATTTCATAATATATCATTTAACTTAAGTCTCTTACAGGTGTTACTAAAAAAATATACTTATCGAATACACTGATTCCCTTGAGAGTATAAACTACACGCGCATAATAAACAAAGAGGATGAATGTTAAAAAAAAAATCAAGGGCAAAAACAATAAGTACAAAACTACTATAACTTCGCTTACTTGGACTTATGCTCCCCAGGTTGAGTAGCTGCTTCTTTAGCAAGAATTAAACAATGATCGAACAGAAATACGCGACGTTCACGACTTTTCTTAATTAATTGTTTAGGCTCCCATATAGTGAATTGATCTTGCAAAATTACATCACCCAAAGATGCAAGCGGAACATCCTCTGGGAGATTCTAAAGTGGGTAGAAAGAGATGTTTGTGAAAAAAGTAAAAACGCTTAATGCAAATATAAAGTCAATGAAAGCTAAAGACTAGGTCTAGTGTGATAAGACGCTCGCCAACCACATGGTTCGGGGTTCGATCCCCTGCTGACGTACTCCTCAATCTCGCTAAACCGGTAGTAGTAAGGTCTGTAAAGACAGGTTGGGCATGGGGCTGGCATCCTCACCACCCCGCAAAAAATAAAACCACTGTTATCAAAGGTCTAGCTCAAAACCCTATATTCCACTGGGAACGTAAAGGAACATGGAAATAAAGACACGACGAGAAGCCGGTGCTATCTAGACAGAACTTTGACAGCTGATTCAAACGCAAAATTACATACACACACAAATATAGAGTATGTGAAATAAATTTCGAACATATGTTTACGTAAGCAATAACTATTTGGATAATCAATCTATGATTTCTGGGTTTTGAACAAAGTAGGATGTAATCAACATTTACTGATGCATGTGAATTTCAGAGAAATACACGTAAGTAGAATTTTTCAGGGATAACACAGTTTCATGGCAGAACTCCTTTGGGAAAGGTCTAAATCCATGATGAAAGACTTTAAATGATGCAATTTAGACAGACAGATGGATATAGATAACAATGTTTCTATACTAAAAACCCATCCAACTTACAGAATAGTAATATCACTACAGTTATATGCCAACAAAGCAGTAGTAAAGGCAAGCAAAATGTATAAAGCAATAAACAGAATGACCGAGAAAATATTCAAGATATGTGGACGACTAAATGCCACATAGGAAATAAAAGCTTTCTACCTTTATAAAGATATACAAAGAACTCCTCTCACCCTCCTGAAACAAAAATCAGAAGCTTACCTATTACTACTACTACTACTTGTCAGACATCATGACCGAGAAGAAGAAAAATGAACTGCAACACTTTTGACAGAGGAAGACTTTCTGTTGTTGATGTTGAAAAACAACGGTCACCCTCAGAGGTTCATTGACAAGTATAGAAGATGTGAAGGCTCGAACGTCAAAACAAATCACAGTGGGAAAGAAGTCTACCTTCATTCAACTCGACTTTAGAGGTGATAATAATGCAGGAATAATCAAAAGAAGATTGGATATGTCACTAGCCAGAGCCTATCCTGCAATGAAGTTGGCTCCCGTTTATCGGGCAACATACTTTTTGGTACAGTCAAAAGTCGACAGATACCCTGCTCATGTTAACTCCAACTGTGTGTACAAATTTACATGTATCTGTGGGAGCAGTTAGATTGGAAGAACAGAAAGAAGGGCATGGGTCTGATTTTCTGAACATGTACCGAAAAGCCTGCGCCACAACGGAACAAGTGCTTTAAACAGTGCCACTGCTAGGCATCTATTTCACACGGATCACGAGGTGGACGTCACAAGATTACCAATAGGCAAAAGAGTTCAATTCTACTCAAGTCTGCCAAAGCGATCTCCATCAAGCACCTGAAACCCGACATATGCGTTTCGCAAGAAACGGTTATGAGTTTTTCCTTGCCCTGGTAACTGGATGTTTTCATCCTGTCATTCGTTTGATTACGTAACGTCAAAAATCCCATTCTGTATAATTATTATTGTTTGGGATAGAGTGATTGTTATTATTACTATTGTGTGCATATATTGTTTTTTTTAAATGAACTCTATGTGTATGTTAAAATTGTTTCTGTACATAAACTTAATAACCTCCTTAGACTGCATGCAGATGATGAGAAGCCAACGAAATAAGCGATGACTGCACAAACTGTTATTTCTACTTTATTCAGTTACAGTGTACTTTTTCACACTTATAACTAATCGCTTAAAATGTACCACAACAGTTTGATCCACTTATCACGTTGTCTCGTGGCTGCAAAATATAAAACAAGAGGGTGGCAAAGAATGCTGTCGAAAGAATGCAAGGAAATAACCGACTAGTCAATATTTTCACACATACACACACACACATTTGTGAGGAAGTAATTTGTAATACAGTCATTTCATTATATAACTAAACTGATATGTTTTTTTTTTAATTACCTGTAGCATACTTAAATGTAGTGCATCATTAGCACGTTTCGGTACACTCAGCATAGCTTCCAAACCCTCGCTGATCTCACCTACTCCAACTGGATCACAGCAATCGCGTAGTTCACGTAATAACAACTGATATTTTGTTACACGTTGAACAGGTTTAATAAGATACGACTGAAGTGTTTCAATTAGGTTGTAATACAACTAGAAAATAAAGAAAGGTAGATACGGAAGGTACTTTTATTAAGGAGAACAACAAAACAGTGAGATAATATTTTTTGGAAAATCACTGACAATTTTTCAATGATTAAATGCACTACCTCATGCATAATTCAACTGTTTTGTGGGTAGATACTCGAGTGAGTGTAAGGTGATCATCATCAATGGATAGTAGTGACTGATGGAACTGTGGACCAACTACCAAACACAAATCCACCTGGTTCAAACCGCTCCACTTACTGATTTTTGGGCTAATAGGCATATCATTAACATTCAAATAAAAGATGCGTGCCAACTGAAGGACCTCCTGTTGGAAGGTAATAATTTCAAATATTCGAACTCCACTTCATCTTTTCCGTCTAATTCAGTGACAGAATGCCCGCCAAATACCACGCACAAAAGCAAAAAGGAATAACATTACTGCTACTGAAACTTCGCGGTTTAAAATCTGAAGCTGTCTGTTCCGTCCCAGTCGGAACACAAAGGAATTTAGTGAGGATGCGCATTCACTGCAAGATAAAATTTCGCATCATCCGGACACTCAAAGCCCACAAACTTGGCAAGTGCTTTGAAATAAATTTTTAAAAATGCATCCATTTCGTAGTAACCTTGATTTTTAATGTTCATCAGTGTAAACAGTGACGACTAATTAAGTGTAAATCATCCTTCAGCATTGTCTAATGATACACTATCCACCATAAATGTCAAGATTTCACTATCCTCTAATACTATGAAGAATGCAAAACTAAATATCTTTTCCAACATACTAAATGCGCAGGCAATTCATTTCATACGTGATGGCTAGCAATCGAATCAACTCCAGGATATGAGTTGCAGTCCTACTCAGAACACGTCAGTTGGGGAGTACTTGAACTTCAATAAATGGTGGTTATCCTATTTAAGAGAGTAAAACTGTGCGTCGATGGTATAGCGCTTAGGACGCTCGCCGACCATGCACATGGTTCGGGGTTCGATCCCCGGCCAACGCACTCCTTTACCTCGCTAAACCAGAAATAATGCTGGTGAGGAGGAAAGGTTGGGCATGAGGCTAGCATCCCCATCCTGTAAAATAAACACTGCTACAGAAACTTCAAGCCCCTAGCTTGAAGCCCTATGTTCCACTGGGGAACGTGAAGGAAAACAAAAATCCTATTTAAACTTGGAGCTAACATTCTTCGATTCAAACGTTGAAGTATTATCCAAAATGTTATTGGGTTCTGTAAATTAATCAACAACTGCAGTACATATCGTTTAAATTATTCACTTAAAAGAATTTTCGCAGAACTTTCAAGAGATATTCGTGCTAAGTAATCCTCGGGGGTTGTTAATAGATGTCAACAATAAGCTATGCAATAAAAATGAATACTTGTAAGCCTTAAATTGACATGTTCTTTGATGAGCCGGAGGTGTACAGGCGAAAAAAAAACGCTTCAAAAATTAGCGCTGCACCGTAAAGAGATAGTGCTCGAATAAGTCTATTCTCTCTCTCCCTCTCTATCACACCACTGGTGTATTCATCACAAAGAAATACATGAATGCATAAATTCTTTTCTATTTTTTTTCTCAAAATCAATAAAAAAAACAATAAGCTGCGCTTACTTGTAAAGACTGGAAATAATTCTGTCCATGTTCAATAACTAATCGTGTTGATTCAGTATTATTTACACAATATTCTACATATAATTCAGCTAAACGATCACTATGCACAACAAAACAATGTCCAACATCTTCTGGTAGGAAATCACCACTCTCTGTGTATTTAGCTAATTCAGGTTCAAAAGTCTGCTTATGAAATTCATATATCATAGGCATATTACCAAATACAATATCAGCTTGACCAACAAGTCCAGATGGTACCTATGATAAGTAAAAAAAAATAAGATAATTAAGATAAAATAAGATAAGATGTAAATCATAACTATGCACACACGTTTGGCAAGAGATAAAAATAATCTACCCTACTTATAATATTATTTAAAAAAATAAGCAAATATTCAGAGTAGATCACATATAGTTAGTTGTACATTAGTTGTTTGACTAAGCGACAGAGAGATAGAGAGAGAAAAACAGTAATCAAAGTACAAATTAACAACATGTTTCTGAAAATGATTCAGCTACACCATAAGCAAACAAACATATTTCAGAGTGAATAGTAGAAAGGAGTGGACACACTATTTTTTCAAGTGTTAGTCTGTAGGAATTTGATCGATTCCAAGTTATTTCACGAAACTGATATCACAGTTGGAGACATGAGATATCGAGAAAACTTTAAAAAACTGATACAAACTAAATACGGTAGATTTACATGAAATGTTTGTATGTTGAGGAGAGTTATGAGAAAAAACAACATACGAAGGCAGCACCATCCCCGCGATTAACATTGTTGGCTGAGGTAGGGATTAAGTCGGTAAAAAGACTGTATTTTGGTCAAATTAAAACATAACGTGGCTCTATGAAGTAAATGACTGCCACAGTATGAACCACTTGAAGGGATGTAGGCTGCATATCTATCTCGTAAATTAGGGACAGTTGTCAACACTAGGAGGAATGTCATCAAGCCGTTCACAATGGTGCAGATGGATTTTAGAACACGATGGATTAGCCATTTATAGTCCCCCAATAGTGAGTCACAACACTCACCTTTTATGTGATAAATATTATTTGTTACCTATTTTCAGCCATATGAATTTTTCATTCTTCATATTCACCGGGTAGAAATGATCGTTCTTCAGACAATCGTTGTCTTCACACTAGTGGCATCAGAATCTAAGTAGTTCTAATGTCCAGCGGCGGGTGTTTGGATATAATGGAGATCATCTCAAAACAAATGATGTTATTGCTAACTGCGGTGGAATTAAGAATGTCATGCTGAAAGACTTCTATAGGCGCTTCACAACCCTGCAACTGATTGCAGAGAGCAGTCAGTTTGTAAAATTACATAGGGGAATCAACGGTAATTGTGTTGATCTAATAATAATCGATGGTGTATCACAACTTCATCTCTGGGAAAGGTCTGAAGAATCAGGTGACTCAGTAGGTCGAAACTTCATAAGATATTATGACTGACCATCTAAATATATGGTGAATAGAATACTGATGAATGCTGCTTCTATCAATGGATATAGTGAGCTTGTTCACCCGTTTATATTCTCTTGTTTCTCAACCACTTTACTTTTTATTTTCCCAATCTTGTTATCTCGTTATATTATGTAGTGCAAATATTGTACAAAAATTGTGTTTTGATTAGGCGATAACATTAGTATGAGACTGTGTGTTGAAATGAACTGAGGTGACTAAAATTTTCTTTTAAAAATAACAAGAAATTATCTAAATTCCGTAAAAGTTTACTGGAAAAAAAAACAATTGTATAGCTCACCTGAGCAGCCAACATTTTAGGCGGAGAAAGTAAACCCTTGCGGTAGGTCTCCATGCATTGTTCTAAAGATTGTACATAAAGTCTTTCAGTTTGGATTAATTCACGCAGTAGATTCTCTCGCCGACGTGCTAATCTGCGTTGTTCTTGTGTTGTACCTGAGGCAGCAGCTGCTGACGCTACTAAATATGAATCATTAGTGATACTTGCACTTGTACTACCGCCTGTACCAGAGCTACTTGTACTGGAAACCGATGTTCTGTGAAAATCAGATATATGAAAGCATGAGGTTAGAAATATATCGATGCAAAAGTGAAATGTATATGGGGGGGGTGGGAATAAACTGCAATCCCCGGTACGAAGAACAAGTAGTAGAAAATTGAATAACACTTCAAATGCCTATACCAATAAGTGAATTTCAAACGTATATATAACAATACAGTTTAATCAACTGTATTACCTGAACACAAATAGAGCTAACATTAAACAAATATATTTTAATATCACGACTAACCTATCTGGTTCAACTTCAAGGGTTTTAGGCCTAGCTTGAACATCAAGTTTAGACGACGGAGCAGAACTCTTCCTGGATTCAGTAGCATGATGATCCGCCGGCTTTTGTGAATCCTTGTTAACTTTACCAACAGCACCAGCGCTGGATGCAGCAGTTGATCCTGTAACCGATTGTGATTCACAAAGACGAAGACGTTGTAATAATGCCTCCAATTGTGTTGTATGACCAGGAGATAACGGAGATGATGAAGCTATCATTGACTCTAAGCTTGCACAAGCTCTATATACTTCTTGCAATAGTGATGGATTAATATGTGAAAGGCAAACTGGACCGGGGAAACCAGACGGTTTATTTCCAGTAGACTCCTGAACACTATGTACACGTTCGAGAAGATCTTCGATTTGACGCTGTAGGTGTAATTATACAACAAAACATATTAGTACAGTTCATTATTATGCACATATAAGTCGAAATAAAATGAACTTTTAAAAGAAAACTTTCACTGAATTGCCATGGAACATAAATTCCAACTTAAAAGTAATGCATTAGTTAATTTAATCGCACATAAGAACAAAGATTTCACAATCGCCATTTCTAACAACATGCTGCTACAACAAAAATAATTCCTAGTTACGTGATTCAGAAATTGAGGTGTCTCACACAACTAAAGCACATCTAAGAAATCCTAACAAAATTGAAAACAGAATTTTTCCGACTTTTGATTGTTTTACAATTCTCTATAATTAAGGAATACTAATCACATACAAACACCTTTAGTAAAGAGGTATACAAACAAAAAAAACTCTTCTATTTAACACAATGTACCTTGAGATTCATGAAATAAGTACAATCGTCAAGCCGTCTGCGTCGAACCGCCCATGCTTCGAGAACAGCTTTTTCTTTAGCCATTAATTCTGTCATAGCCACACGAATCTTCTCTTCAACCTCAGCACGACCAGTAGTGCTAGCCGGTTGACGATGTAAATACTTGCTAAACAAATCTGAAGTACGCCTTAAATAAAAGAAAAGATTGCAACATATTGAAAAGAATAATGCGTGAAACCTAACTAACAAGAAGAATGATAATATAGAAAAAATAAACCGAATCACAACTTTTAAAGTTAAACAGTTTACAGTTGTAAAAACCAAAAAACTATGTACATATTGATTCGTGTCTCATGTCTAAATCAATCACAGAGGGAGGCTAAACTAACATAACTCCGCCGCATATCATCCATTGACGATGATATTCTGTTCACGTTTCATACTTGTCGCATAAAAAACTAGTTATTTTTTAACAAATGGATGTACTACCTCTTTTTCCTGAGCTTTCTCAGCTTCCTCATACTTTCTACATACGATTTTCTATATCTGTTCCATAAAAAAAATGATTTTTTCTAATTTCTACAATGAGCACAAAGGACCTTAATTATTACATATTGTTATTGTTCCTTTGGGTTCCAAGTGAAACATAGGACCTCAACAGCACATCCCTATTTAGTCCTATTCTCTGAGGTAGTCTTTACCTGGTCCCCACGACTGCCCACAGCCTCCCATCTCCTTAATGTCACCTTCGGCCACACACCCAACTCATCGTTTTCCATTCAGGTCCAGATCGAGCGATGGCTTGGCGTGCGAAGTCACTTAGCGTGTGTATTTGTTCAGCGATAGGTTCTTGCATGTTGGTTCCTTCCCAAAGTTCCTTGTTGCTCATTCCTTTTGGCCAGTCATTTGATCTACAAAATGGAACCAGAGAAGGCAGTAGCCGCCAACTCCACGTTTCTGGCCCATATGCAAGAAATGACTGACTTAACATTGGTGCTAACTATCCCAACTTTGTTCTTTGCGCTGAGTGCAGATTTCCAAACTGATTTAAGGTTGATGAACGTCCGATTCTGGCTTGGACATCTTCATCCATTCCGCCTGTAGTCAAAACGATGCTTCCTAGATAAGTGAAGGAAGTAGTCCCTTCCAAATTTCTTCTGTTGATAATGAATGGTGCTTGTTGTTGTTGTTGTTGTTTGGTTATCTTCATCACCTCTGTCTCCCCTATATTCGCTTGAAGTCCTGTCTTCTCTTCTTCTCCTGTGAACTTGATGGTTTTTAACTGTAAGTCTCCGAGTTTGTGTGACATTAAGCATAAGTTATCCCCGAAACCCAGATCTTTGGTCCAACATGTTCCTGTCTACTCGCTCCCCACAGTCTAGCGCATAATCCAGTTCACCACAACTGGCAATATCATCAGTGACAGAATAGGTAGACAGCCTTGTCTTACTCCTGTCTTCATTTCACAGCCTGTGTTGCGTTTTCCGTTGTGACACTTGGCATTGTCATATGTGAAGTTGATGGAGATTTTGGACACGCTATATATTGTTGCTGTCGAAGACGTTTTCAAAGTCGATCAAGTTGGGGGTGATGAGGTTTGACTGCCACTATAATTTCATGTACAAGAAAAACAATAACACTTCGAATCTAATAACTAATTTTGTTTTTCATTCTCTTTATTACGACAACTAGTAAGTTTATAAGTGCTCGCTACAAAGAGAGCAACATGACTATGCGCCAAGAGACTAACTGAACTTTCTGGATGTTATTGGGTTGTATTAGTATTTCCTTCTTTTCGGTGGGCGCATAACGCTCACCTTTTTTAACCTGATGCAAATGATACCATTTATTCGACGTGATTTTTTTTTAAACTGGAGATTTTATCCATTTGATTACCCTGTGTATCACAAGTATCAGGACATTAAATACATCAATTTTTTATTGATAATCATGACCGATATCTCCTCTCCAGCGTTTATAATCTAGATTTATGACATACCATTATAGAAAAAGGAAATTTACAGATGTTATACACATGGTGTAAGTAAGTAAGTAATAAGCAGAACTACTACTACTCCTGAATACTGAAGCAGTCAAACAGAGGGAACGACGAATAGACTAATTTCTTCTCTCACCTGGCTAACATACAAGCCTTGAGGAATGCTTCTTTTTGTTCAGCATGCTTAGATGATAACTGAGCTAGGTAATTAGCTGGATCTCCACTGCTAACCGCCTTTTCATTTTGACACCAATCTTCTTCTCTACGATATTCTTTCTCTAAAGACCATAAAACTGAAGTTACTTGATCTGATGTTCGATACCTGTAAGGCATAAAATAGAAATAATATGCCAGAAATATAACAACTGAAAGCAAAATGACACGCAATAGAAACTGTAATAATAAACAGGACAATGAAACAGCTTTAGGCATTTTAACTAAACCCTGAAATATTAATGTAACACTTAATATATTCAGTTGATAAAAAATAGCCCTGATAAATTAATTAGGAAGTATATGTAGGAAAGTGTAAAAATAAAACTAATAATAATGACGAAATGCATGACAAAAAACCCAACAGTAAAGAATTTAAATCATCAGTAGTACTTCCATACAAAGAAGGAACCATGGAAACCTTACGTAGAATCAAACCTCAACACTGCAGAGAATAAAAGTGGCATTCAAACCACCCACAAACTCAATTAGAAACAAGCTATGTGTCAGTTAAAGGATCCCATGGAGCCAATTAAACAAAACAATTAAGTTTGTCTAATACCCCGAAATAATTGTCAGGTCAAAGTAGTTGAACAGGGTCAGAAAAGCACAAAAACCTAGAAAAATCGAGACTATTTAACCTTAATAGGATAAGAAATCTGGAGAATAGTTCAGCTATAGCAATACATGCAATAACACACAGCCATACAATAGAATAGGTGGAAGGAGAGATTGATAACAGAAGCTTTGTTTATCGAATCAACTGCAAACACGTGTAATAGGAATGATTCAACACCTGTCCCACATATTTGGAAAATCCTAGTACCCCTATGAAAAATACGAGAGAACAAAGGAAACTATAAAACTCAAGTTTCGAAGTAGTGTTATCACAATTGATATGATTAAGAACAATTAATTTTGTTCGAAACGTCATCCAGTAAATAATACAGTTTCACTGTGTGATATATCTAATAAACACACTAATATATATATGGAATTATACACTACAACAGTGCCCAAGTTTTCTGTCTGTCTGTCTGTCTGTTTTCGACATAGAACTTTGCACCGATGTGCGACAGTTCAAGTCGCCACACTCCATGTAGCACATAAAGCAAGAGAAGAAAGTAGAAGAAATGCATAATATAGACAGTAAACAGAGGTGTGAGACAAAGGAATAGTAATAACGAAGAACAATATAGTTTCATTGGAAACACAAGCCCGTTTTACATATATATTGAAGATTATCATGCTTGCAGATATAGCCTTCCTCAAAACATCAATCACGAACTGCAATGGCATGCAAAACATTGAGCATATATATATATATAGTAGCTTGACTTCAGACAGTATTTTTGATTCAAGTATGGAATTTTGAGTATGTGATATCGGTAGCCCAAATTTAGCAGGCCGGCCATTGGTATCATGTGTGCGTCGGCCAGGGATCGAACCCCAGACCATGTGCATGGTCGGCGAGCATCCTAACCGCTATGCCACCACTATGCACAATGTTTTACATGCCATTGCAGTTCGTGATCGTAATTACACTGTAAACGCGTTAAGAACCATTTCGTTTTCAAACTTGCTTCCGTTTCCAGAATTTTAGTTTTGTTTAGTTTAAAGTGGACAACTGTACGCTCATATTGTACACAATATTTCGGTAATTGAGAATTTAGCAGGTTAATCTTGTTTGGCATTAAATCCTTAACGAGTTACGCTAATTTTCTTTCATTCCTTGCACTCCAAAGGGAACACAAGGCTACACACTTTAAAGTTGCAGTACAGGTGAGACTGAAGGCCTTTCCTGAGCTTACTACAGGCCAAGGAACCTGGACTTGCACATGACAGGTGAGGATTTTGCTAATGCGTGTTTCTTTATTACACTACTTATTATTAATACAACCCCGGCTTCATGTATACGTCGCACTACAACTAAAACCAAGTCTATTTACTAAATAATTCCTTTTCCACAAACAGTTTACGATGTAGGCCAATTATCAAAAACTAACATTTGTTTACACTACACAAACTGTCCACGTTATTAATAGTGTAAATAAACAAAATTATCCGGTAACAACACTATGAATAACACTGGAGTCCACTTAATATTATTATTGTTATTATTATTATCAAAGGAAACCAAAATTTATGGTCTCTCTTGAATGTTTTTATTTACAACAAAAACTGCAACAACAACAATAATAAGATAAACAAAATCATGGAACGCACACACACACACAAATCTTCGAACCCATGGATGTACAAGAAGCACATCAAAAGAGATAAAGAAAGGTCTTAGATAATACCCGTAAAAAAATTAACAGAAAGAAAATATAGAGATCATATTTTCAGAAATGATATTATGACTATTTATTAATTATGATCATTATTATGAATATTACCAAATATTAAGCGAATAGCTGTCTTCTCAACAAAACTTTTGTATACGACACAAAATCCCCAGTAGATTTTACTGTGAAGCGTGTACTCCTATTACAGAAAGTAAGAATCGACAGTATTTCCAGCAGTCTGAACAACACTACTAAGCGGAGTTTTAACACGTTTATTCACACTTCAAACAACTAAGAGGTATTATGTTGTAAAATTTGTCTTAAAACGAGTGTACACATGAGAAGTACAATTCATCTACACCCAATTGAATTATTAATACCATACGAAAAGGTATAGAGAAAAACTGTGACATTATTTTTTGACTGGAAATTCGATAGCTCATTGACACCTTTTCGACTTACTTTTTCAATACAAATGAACGCGTAAGATAAATTCTCATCTGATGGAGAGTTTATTAGTTTAAACACAAATAATTTCAATCACATATATCAGTAAACAGGTGTTTATAAGACACTATCAACATAGAAGATAAACAACCTTCTATCAGGAATTAGCAAATGGTCTTCATCTAACGGCCTTAAGACTGTTAATTTCAGTTTCCGATGTAAACGAAAGTTAAATGAAGCCGTTGGTTCCTATGACCCTTGCAAAATTGATGATATTGATATAGAAACCAAGTCTGGAGTTAAGTATCTTGGATTAATTCTCTCTTCTGACCTATCCTGATCCTCCCATGTCTTAACGATTTCTAAAAGAATATTTCGTCTGACTTTTTACATTAAGAAGTTGAGGCACTCAGGCATAACTCAACCACTCCTCTTACAGTTTGTCAACTCGTGCATCTTACCTATTCTTCTTTACTGTTCACCCTTATTCTTTCCTAGATTGCTTAAAAAAGACAATGTCATACTTCGTAGAACTCTGAAGACTGTCAGTAGGATGAGTGGTATCCCATTGGGCCATATTATTTATTTTATTTCGATTACAGCTTGATGCCACACCGTCTTTTCAGTACAAGTATGGCATTTTCAGCATGGATATCGGTAGCCCAAATTTTGCAGGCCGACCATAGATATCGGGTGTGCGTCGGCAGGGGATCGAACCCCGGACCATGTGCATGGTCGGCGAGAGTCCTAACCACTGTGCCACCGACGTTGGCATTGTCACTGACAAGCATTTGATGTCATGCAACAACTTCGCTAAAGGAATTTTGAGCACCCACTCTACCCGCAGCTCCAACCTTGTGTCTCCCCAGGTAAAACAAGAAGTTTTTTCAGAAGACTTTATGCACGTACATCTAAGTATAAAAATTCCACTATACCATATTTAGCACGTACTTTATGTGATGAAAATAGTGTCAGGCATGCACTAACTAATTTTCTTTGCACTACTAAATAAACCGTTTCCTCCACCCTTACAACATCAAACTTTATTGTTATTTTATTTCTTATATTTATAATCCTCTCAAATTTTTGTTTTCGCTTATTTTTTCCATAAGTGTGAACATCATTTAAGCTGTGTTATAACTGTTAATTTTGTATTTCCCCTCACCATGCTGCTATATCAACAGAACATTAGATCCAATAATCTAAAACATGCTAAAGTTTCCAAACTGAATTGACAATACCGTTTCAAACAAACTCACTGTTATTATTATTATTATTATTATTATTATTATTATTGCTGTCTAATCGTTTAATTCACAGCACTACATATATACACAGCATGTACTTTGAATATACACTAGTCACTAACTATTGTCATGTATCTATTCCTTCGTTAGCTGCAGGTTGAATTCTTTCAGTCAAGTTTGCAATGTGGCCACCCTTCTAGGTGGCTCACCATCACAGTGCACTTTGAACTGTTGTTATTAGATGATTAGAGGCAATCGGTAGGAGGCCTTAGACCTAGGTTTCACGTTTTTTGACACTCATCAGTAAGGCGTACCTGAAACTTTGAAGGAACTCATGTCCCTCCTGAGATTCGCACCCGTGTCACCCAGCGCCGCAGTCAGTCTTCACCAAATAAAGGACTAAACGCTTGACACTAGTTACCAACTAGTGCCCAATCAAAGTATCTAACAATCCTACGGGAGGTCAATCGCTAGCCCGAATACCTCAGTGGTAACGTTGTTGACTGAAGCACTAGGTGAAATGAGTTCGACTCTCAGGAGGGACATGAGTTCCTTCAAGACTACAGAAACGCCTTGCTAAGTGGTGAGTGCCAACTAGCACGAAACCTAGGTCAGGCAAGGCATCTTGCCAATCAATAGCCTTCAACCATCTGAAACGCACTATGTGAAGTGAAATATAAATAAAATGAAGTTACTGAAAATAATGCGATCTTCATAATAAGTAAATAATATGAATAAAGATGAAATTATTTACAAATTCCAAGCAATTGTATCGGTTACTTTATATATGAAAAACCAGATAAATAAGATCTGTTCCTCATTCCATGAGCTAATATATTGATCCTCTCTCTCTTTATTTCTTTCAATGTTTACTTCCATTCCAGATTACAGTACATATATTGAAGTGAAAATGGAGCAAACATACACAACACTTATTCGAGTCACCTTCACAATTCACACTCATAATCACGTGGCAGTTCTATTACACGACAGAAGACCCATCCGCATATTTACTTTTACTAATAAAAACACAGACTTGGTATACAATGCCCACCAGGAGATAAGCTACACAAAATCGCATAGTTTGTGCGACGGCTGAAATACTGCCCAGATACCCCAACCGAAGTAAGCGGCTACCACCACCTAAAGTGGCCACTCTTCAAGCTTCTGACTTGAATCGTGATTCACAATGCAGTGGAGCTGCCTTCCCCGTGGTTGCCAGTGATCGAAACAGGTTCATGCATGCACACCATTCGGTCCTTTCAGATACTGAAGCCCATGTACACCATAGGTTTGGAATCAGAGTTGTCCAGGTCTCCTAGACAGACCAGCACACCTAAACTGAATCTTCATTAGTTGGTCATGCATACACAATAAGTGTATAAAGGCAATCAATCGGTCGGAAATAGACCAGTCGATGGTAGATAAAAAAATGATTCGCTGCATTCAGAAATTCTAATAGATAATATGATGATATTTAGCGACGGCGACACACGTGAATTCTAATTATAGCATAAATACTCATTGATCACGGAAATAACTGGTAAATTTGACTAACTAGAGAAACTTTTACGGAATCTCTTGATAACAAAATTGACGCACAATCAATCAATCAATCATCTGACGTCATTTCCAACTATATATAGTGATGTTAAATTAGTTTAGAAATGTATGAAAGAAAGAGGAATTGCTCAAGGTTTTATTTCTTAAGAAAAAATAAGACTTACTGATATTAACTTCTCAGATAACAAGAGGAAGTCACACATACACACAAAAGCAGAAAAACGAACACACATAACAGCCCAACGATTTACTTTTAAACTTCACATTATATTTGAGAACGTAATAAGACAACTTTAGGTAATTCTAATTCAGACAAAAAACTAAAGTATGAATTTTGTGGAAAAACAAAAATAAATGAGTAGAGCTAGTGCACAAAAGAGAAATATCATCACACCGTGACAACAATGAGAGAAATATCTTTCATCAACAAAAAATTCAATTTGAGAAAATCACTTATGGCGTAAAATTGAAGTGTTCCTTTCATCTTAACAATATTTGTCAATAAACAAATGTACAACTTCAAAAGCGAAGTGAAACTAAGTAGTTTATAATATAAATTTTCCAGACACACACACTCGTAACAAGAGAAATAAATGAATGACTTAAGTAATCAATAAGACCTGTAGCACAAAAGGTGGTTGTCGTGGCCCAAGTGGTCTAGTGGATAACGCTATGGCGTTTGAAACTATGGGTACTGAGTTCGAGCCTCGGTGGGAACACTATCACTCACTGGGGAATGTAGGCACATCCAGATGAACAGGGCCCAAATGGGATGAAATGTGGATCCTGGATTCCACTACCAGTCACCATCAACCAACTGACTTCAAAATGAATGTCAGCCTAGAAAACATTTGTACTAGTCTTATTTCTAAAACACTGTAGCAATGATATATATTCAACGGAGAAATATAAATATAATACCCCCTGTGCAGCGTTCTCTCTCATCACATGAATTCCACCAACAATTGCTTCACATTAAAGTAAGCACCGAAGATGCTGTGTCTAGAGGGACAATGAAAGCGTCGCAACTGCGTCACCTAGCTCAACGAACACACACAACAGCAAAAAAACACCCACCTGAGCTATACATTATCGGGACTATTTCAAAGTTCTATAAGCTTAAACTGCAAAACATTTTTTGACCACTAGAAACCTCATCAACAGTTTTCTGTGGAAAAGTTACAGACTTTCGACAGGTTAACAATCCACAACTGCTAAACGCTGAATAACAAAGAGAACAATCCTACTGACACACACGTGACATAGTGAAACAATGTTACTGGCCAAATATAGCCTTCATAAGGCTGCTTGTGATTATGATAACCAAATAAGTGTTTCACTGAGCAATACAAAAAGAAAAGGAAAACTTGGGTTGAAACCATACCTCTAGAGAAATCCTTAATTTCTACACCAAGACCAATTTCTTCTGCTCAAAATCAATAACCATAAAAACACTTTGATTACTCAGTAAAAAAGCGTATGCTAACGTATGGTGCATAGTATTCCCTAAAACATACACGAGTATCAGCAAAACATTAGATCTAAAGCTCATAACTTTACAGTAACTAAATTTCTTTCTTATTTATCTCATAAAAACGTTTAAAAGAAATTGAAATAATCTTACCAATTAGTTGCAGATATCAACAGTTTATGACGTTCTTCTGCAGCATAGACAAGTTTCTGCCAACGGTTGGCGACCGTTTCAGCAACGGACTGATAATCTTTTCTCCTCGGATGTTCATTATTTCCAGAACCTGTTGTATGACCTGATGGATTACTTGTTGCTGTTTGTTGTAAAAAGTAACTGGCACGTGCAGCACATTGTACAGCTTGTGGATGAGCATCATTCAAAACTGGCTGAAATTTTTCATGATCTGCATAAAGTGTTTCCGCCTCTGCTAGACTGGCTGGAATTACAGCAGTTTGATGTAGAATCCCTTCACACTGACCTATCCAATGTAACACCTAAAAAAGTTGTCAAAACATGGTTACATTGAGTGTACCAACGATGAAAGTGTACACAGAATAGTAAATATGAAATAGGTTTGAATTGCATCCGTGTAAGTGATAACGATACAATAACTCCAGCATTAAGACAACCGTCAGTGTAGAACTTAATTAGGTTCACTCAGTTAACTGGAAATAAATCATTTTGCTTACATATTGCTTGAAACTAAAGGTATAGATACACTGACACGCACATCTTATCAACTAACGAATGACAAGAGAACATCGAACACCTTGGTATTTTGTAAAAACTACTCATTTTTGGTGGAATACACAAGTAAAAATGTTCGGACTAAATGAACAGTTGTAAGTAAACGTAAATTCACTGACGAAAATATTATGTGAGCTGCTGCAATTTCTCGAGATGCTGTATGACACAAACCGAGACTGAATAATATTCGTATGAAAACATTATGGATAAGATTTTATTTTGATAAATCACACAGTGTTGTTTATCAAAATAAAATCTTATCCATAATGGAATTATGCTCTACCACAGTGCCCAAGTTTTATGCCAAATATCGTATGAAAACACACTCAAAATTTATCCTTTTGTGAATTCGCCAACATTGATAACAACTTATCTATTCGTATCCTCATATGTTTACAGTCTCGATGATACTGAAATGTGTCAAGTGCTGACAGCTGTTTCGCCCTAATCTGCGGCTCTTCACAGCAGCACGCAACCACTGAAGTTCGGACCCACGATCTTCCGGTTACAGGGCGAGCTCGTAGACCATTCAGTCACTGAGGTCTGATCCAACGGCCCACGAATTCCGACTTCTGTCAATCTGCGATACATCTGGCGCAACTGCCAGTCAATGCCATAAGCGACTCCACGGATGACAACATCTCACGAGAACTTCAGGTACTGAAGTAAATATTCCTAATTTTTTTACTACTTACTAATCCGACAGACAGACAGCCACACTCAGATCCTAGTTTTTGTGAAACTACCAATTCACATATGTCTTGCTCACTTCAATATCGCTGTTTAAATTTTATTACACTCTTTTCACATGTCATAATGTTTGATATATATATATATATATATATATATGTATCCATAGATTGAGAAATCTGTCCAAAGAAATTCATATATTGACCAATATTTATTTGGAATCACATTAAACATATAACATTTTCAAAAATAAATCATGTCTGCTAATTCTGACACAAAACAGTCATGAATACACATATTATCGACGAAATAAAAATTAACACAAGTACTTTACAACACAGTACTATGCCCTAATAAAAGTTAAGACTATATATATATCTATACACGATGGATGGCAGGCACACATACAATCGAAGTACGCATATTAATCAATCAAGTTAAACATGCTCTCTCTGTTTCTCTCTACCAGTGGTAACTTAATAAGTAGCATTTTCATACATAAGGTAACAAAAAGTGACTATATGAATACACAAACTAATACTCATGAATATACTTTAAAGGTTTGTTATTTACAGCTATTGTAAACTGTTTTGTTTATTGGAAAAATGAAAGCCAACTTTTTTGTTAGACAACTGAGATTCATATTAGCATACTAAAAAAACCTACATATATCACAAAAAACAGTAATCTATCACAATGCTGCAGCAAGTACTGACTTTATAGATTCCGGCAGGTGATTGTAAATAACCGCAATAGTACAGATCACGAATTTCATTCAGTGTGAAACCTCTAGTGTTCATCTCCTACAGTCTGTGCCTTAGATGCTTGTAATTTTCAGTCTATCTGCTGGCTGAAAAACCAACGCCACAATATTCGCTCGCTACATACCGAACGGTATTCCGGACGACTTGTAACACATACACTTATGGTTGGGACTGATAAAAGATGAATTACGTGATCCCATGAGAATCAATGTAGTATAGCATCAGTAGAAAATAGAAAATTCTTCATGAAACTTATCATTTCTTATTACACATATTAGATATTGGACGCCTACATCATACTGCACACAAACTGGAAGACTTACGAGCGAAAAATGGCAGGAGAGGCAGGCGCCGACGATAGGACTTCAAGTGAACACAGAAAAACAAAGATGATGAAGATAATCAACCAACCATCAACAACAACGAGTAGCACCAATCACTGTCATGAGGAGGAATTTGAAAGAGGTTACTTCTCCTTCACCTATGTAGGAAGAGTCGTTTCAACTAAAGGCACACCCCATGGAGGAGGAGGTTAGACAGACCTTCATCACTCTGTAGTCAGTTTGGAAATCTCCACTCCGCAACATAAAGGACAAGATTCAAATTTTCAACACTAATGTTTAGCCAGTCAGTTCTCCCATATGGGTGAGATATTTGATATTGGCGTCACGAACAGCATTCGCAACAGCCTGTTGCAGACTTGTATCGACAGTTGCCCTTCCTATGCTGGAGATCAGATGGCCGGTTAGAATGAATTAGCAACAAGAGGCTCTGGGAACGAACTTATTGTTCAATAAATATTCCGAAGCGAATGTAGATAGATCAGACACACATAGCTCAAGTGGAACGCGAATGGGAAACGACGAGTCAGACGTGCGGTAGGTCAATCGTAGGACCAGCTAAAGAAGACGACAGTAAATAGGACAAAGTGGAGATGTGCTGTTGAAGACGTATGTTCAACTCAAAACCCAAGGGAACACAATAATAATATACATCGCATTGTACCCATGAAGCGGCCTGCAAGTTAGGCAACAAATTCACTTCAAATAAATCTTTTATAAGAAGTAATAAAAGTGGCCACTGAGTTTTTCAGAACCCTAACACAAATCATGTCAAAAATGAATTAAGCTTGACGTTAACCGGTCATAAATAAATCAAAATGGGGAAAACAGCAGATAGCGGTGAAAATGGCTACACACTGCCATACAATATTGTGAAATAGTAAAGAATCATCAACAAATTGATACATGCTGATAAAACTTAACCTGCATAATCACTTCCCAACTATCACAGACACCATTACCAACATGAATAAACTTTGGGCGGTGACTTGAAACACTAAGTATGATGAAATTTATCGCAAACAATGCTATTATTGATTCAATACGATCACTGATGATAATCAACCATTACAGGCAAGACATTTTTGAAGACTATTTTATTTTTTTCTTAAAAACACTGTCGATATTCAAATAGACAACATACAAGTAAAACATTCGTAAACGGATGCAGTGAAGTCATGAGGCAGTGGGGCATGAGCGTGATATAATTCGATTTATGCTAAATGTTTAAATCTAACCATCAGACCGCCTGGAACCACTAGTGACACTTATCAACGTAGAAGTTGGCACGAAAGAGCATAGACTTAAGTAAAACTATGTCAGAAAAGCACACAAAAAATTAGAAGAAAGAAAAGTAATGGAATTATAACCAACGATTTCCAGAATCTCGAAGATGGCAAACAGTAAATACATCTGCGACAATGTAAACAATTGTGATGCATTTCATCACGAGTCTCCAACTACTAAATCTTAACAACATCACGAGGGCCTCAACCAAGATTTATAAGATTCTGATCAATAGTCAGTGACATCATGCACTGGTGCTATGTTTAGATCTAATGGTTAATTGAATATTAAATATGGCAGCGACAACAGCTCAGTTTGACAAATTTCAAACCACACTCTTGTATCTCTGTTGAGATTTAGCCAGAGGCCAGTCCACTTGATCTGATGCAACCTTCCGAAAAAAGAGAAGTGTTCAAGATGTTCAACCATTTCAATGACTATCATTAAAACAGTAGTCAATGGAAACTTTCATATGCCAAACATGTGATGCTCAGTGTATGCAGAAGTCATCGTATTTTATGTCACCATCCTTACTATATATCATCTGCGTACTTTTTCCTGATACCGACTGAATCACTAAAACTTTTTACTCGGTTAGAGACTCATTTAGTTAAATAAGAAATGTGTAATCATCACGAATAACAACAAGTGCCAATTAGAAACTGTACCCTTTATTAATTTGAGCAACAATGCTAAGTGCTAAAAACTCTTCACGTGTCGTGGGTGTATCGAAAAAACTTGGCATGAACCTCAAGTATTACACATGGATATGCCCTGGATACCAATGAAATAGAAAAAGATTGACAGTTGGCTTTTCAACAACAACAACAACATGGCATTGTGATATCTTAAAATGCAACAGAATGAGTCATATACTAATACAATATTAGCAACAAACAGCTTAATGATATTCAGTAATATTAATGTCTCAAAACTAATTAATTCACGACAATGGAGCAATTATGGCTTCACACTTAGGGTGCAAAGTACACACATACACACATTTATTGATTAACCCTGACTAATTTCTTTCACAAAATATAAATACAGAATGAAAAACAATGAAAGCGGAGATCAAATTTTATCCTAATGTATTCGTAAAACAGGACAAAACACACTTTCTGTGCATTCTACACACACATAAACACATGCCCACACAAAACACAGACATTAACTCGTTTACACATCATAAGTTAAAGGTTTCACAAAATATCTTATTACATAAGCAATAATACGTAGGCATTTAAATGCAGAAATACTAAACTCAATTGATATGTGACAAAACTTAGTGGAATAGACAAGGAAACAAAATGCCATTTTTAATCTTTTCACACACACAAACACACACAGAAACACATACACATGTGTACAGACGGCATAAAACACATTAAGACACAACTAATAAGACGTGCGTTTAAGTAGTAAGTAGTTATGGTACAACATCACATTTTACTAATAAATTACAATAAACCTAATGAATAAATTATCCCAAAATGAAAATAAGAAAGTAATTGCCATTTAAATTAATTTTTTAAAACAAACAATAAAGATAGAAGAACAATTTTCTTCCCAACGCCAATTACACACTTACTTGTCTACTTTGTAATTGAAGGCGACGCCAATCAAGTTCACCATTTAAACGTTCATTTAACACATCAACCGATGCAACGACATCAGCAAGTTCAGTCATTAATCGATGAACTCGTTCAACAGCTGTCTCTGCACTGTCACACATACCTGAATCACTGGAACCAGGACCACCTGAAAGAAAATTTTCCACACACAAAAAAAAGTTTTCCTTTCAATAACATTCTTCTGGATAACTAACTATGTATGTAAGTCATTCAATGTAGCCTAGTGGAAATCAACGATCACAATCAATCCTAAGGCACACAAAAACTGCTATCGCAATAATGTAAATATTCCCACTAAGATCATTTTAGAATACGATTTATGCAAGAACGGATATTCAAAAAAGTTTGTTCAAGTCTCTATAATGAGAACAGACAGAGAGAAATGCTAACAAACTGTGCAGAAAATATATATATATATAACTTTGATTGGACACTACCCAGTGTGATGTGTCCAGTCCTTTCTTTGGTGCAGACTGAATTCTGTCAGTCAAGTTTGCAGTGTGGCCACCATTCTTGGTAGCTCGCCATCACGGTGCACTTTGAATTGTTGATGTAAGATGGGGGGGTTATCGGTAGAAAGCCTTGGACCTAGTTTTCGTGCTAGCTGGCACTCGTCAGCAAGGCGAATCTCCAACTTTGAAGGAACTCATGTCCCTTCTCAGATTCGAACCTGCGTTGAGCAACTCGGAAAGTCTATTATCGCCTTCTTGAGCATTGTTCAATGTGATTAGGTATAGGAATCATATAGTCAGTCAGGAGTTCTATAATGTCATATCTTGTGGATACGGATCGCTAGACTGATAAAAGTTCAGCCTTTATGATTCTATGCAAGGTGCCATCCCAATCCCTTGGGTTTTATGCCTTCGATTGCTAAGTATGGGCGTGGCAGTCACCAAAGAAAATTCTCAACCCAATCTTTGTGTTCAGAAAAAGTTTTTTCAATCCCGCCGCTTCCCATGGCCTTCAACCCCAACCTGGAATAGTTGTCCCAATGACACTGGGTAACTGTAAATACTTTTTTTATTTCTGTTTGTACCCCTAACTTTATTATCAGTATCATATTGCGTTATAGTCGTATATTTTTAATATGTTTCACAATTTATTATCATCACTCTACTAACATACTCCTTGATAATACTTCATTTTAGTGATCTACATTGCTTCAAATGTCTATGATTGATATTTTACTATGTAATTGTAAAGCCTGCCGAGAATTTATCGGAAATACATATATTTGCTTGCTTAAATCGTTCTGTTACCATGTCGAACTTTCGTATATAGATTATATACATTAGGCGAGGACGTTGAACGAACCTCTACTCTAGTATGTATGACACACCACAGTTAAACTCACTACAGAGAACACTGAAAGGGTGTAATCGGTCGGTCGGTCGGTTTTCGACATAGAACTTAGCACATATGTGCAGCAGTTCAAGTCACCACACTCCATGTAGCACACAAAGCAAGAGAAGAAAGTAGGAGAAATGCATAATATAGACAGTAAACAGAGGTGTGAGACAAAGGAATAGTAATAACGAAGAACAAAACAGTTTCAGTGGAAATCATAAGCCACAAGGAGTGGATGCATCTGCACAAGCCATTGAGAACGATTTTGATCCATGTCACCAGTTGTTTCCAACCATTGGTTTTTACAGTCCCGAGGACCCCAACCATTCAGGAAGTCGACACCTTCCTACGTGGCTTAGACTAACTGTTGTAGATTTTCAAGTGTTGGTTTGTAGGGATTTGATTGGTTTTTGGTTGTTGTAGATTTAATTGACTGGTGCCATGTTTTCGTTTGACCGCCGCTAGATCTTTTCCAGCCTGGCCCTATATCAGCTAACATTGCCCGTCGAGGAAGGCGATGACTAGGCATACGTAACACATGTCCTAACCATCTCAGTCAATGTAATTTCAGAGTCTCGTCGACTGATTTCCCCGCCTTACCTAGTACTCGACGCCTAACTTCAATATTGCTCACCTTATTATACCACTTCACGCGGGAGACAGACGTAGACATCTATGATCGAAGACAGCTAATCTTTTCATGTCTTCCGCCCTCAATGGCCAGGTCTTACAGTCATAAAGGAGGACGGAGCGGATGTAATAAAATAAACAAATGTCTTTTTTCAGCGCCACACTTAATTCTTGCTGGGCCAGAGTCAAAACAAAAAATCGAGTAAATTGTGTAAAATGTGTACATGGAAAACACGATAGGTTGGTGCAATTCTATACACACACTATACTAAGGAAATTTTATTTTGAAAAAAAGTGAGGTGTTCTTCAACAGTCACACGAGAGGCAATGAACTTTGAGTCATTCCAATTATATGAGAACCGATAATGCTACCTGGCTGTTCTCGAATGTTAATTCAAACCTTTGATTCACTGACTGAAAAAGTCGAGTGCTTATTCCAGTAAGCCACATCACTGTTAGTCAAAAGTTCTGAAATTTCAGCTATTCGGATACCACTGTTAATGCAATCACTGGATTGAAGCTTCTGATAAGTGAATTGGATAACTGAAATAAAAATCATGTATGTGATACAGATGTGTACTTCAACCATACAAATCGTATGAAATAGAATAGAATACTTAAGGAATTACACTGACGACAACAAATAAATAGGATTAGGTTAGACAACCACATGGCTGGCTGCTGGATGAAACCTTAACAGATGAAAGGAGTTTCGAGCCCAAGACTATTAACTGAAGGTGGAACCAAAGCTCTACACTTGAACTCAGAAACAGTAGTGACTGATAAGGTGTGATATTTGCTAGCTGAAGGAATTCCAGTTTGGTGGTAACAGTCTGAGAAACCGTGGGATTTATTAGCACAAATATATGTCTTTAGAACTGTCTGCAATTTCAGTCAAACATTTCTTAAAAATTTTGTAATTCACATCTTCCAGTTCACTTCATAAACCTATTCAAAGATCTTCTGCTTCAAATGAACACTTATTCACAACCAAAGAAAACAAAATCAAATTGATGAAAAACGTTACAATACCAGATGCTTCAAGATGTTTCCGAATAAGATAAGTAAAAATAACGGTGTATTAAAATATTATGTTATTCAAAATCTTATAAAAATCATCTAACCTGCAGGGAAATTAACACCAACCGATTCGAATGCTCTGGCCAATTCGCTACCCTTATTTAAAACCTCCTCAGCTGTCGGTAGCACTGACAGACAAGACGTTAACACTTCTTCAATGGATGCCATATCGGGTGCTTGTCGAGGATCAGCTAGCCAATAGTAACGATTAGTACTATTGTTTTGATGATTAGAATTGACATCGGTGGACTGACTTAGATTAGATAATGATGGAATGCTGTGACGTAAACAATCCAATGCTGAATGAACATCAGCTTCGAATAATCGTAATTGTAAGCAAAGATCTAAGCGTACTTGACGCTCTGTCAGTAATGTAGAAACAGTTGTTCGTTCATTAGAAACCTGAAATAGCAAAATATTATTGAACACTATATATTTCTTCTGTAAATTATTCGAAATGTAAGAGGCGAAAAAGCTTGTTTTTGTAAAGACAATAATCAAAATGCGCTGTGAAATGATAAACAATGTCTTGATTTATAAAAACCTTCAGTCCTTATTGCTCTAAATAATTTATTTTTTACACAGTGTTCAGAGTAATACAAACGAAGACTCACATACAACCAGTGTAATGCATATGCTCTGCATCGGTCAAACAAAAAGTGTACGCGGAACGTCAATATCAATTTCTAATGGTTCTTATCATAAATGACTTAAAAACTCGACGTCTCACACGACAAGGAAAGATCAGAGGAAAAGTTTCACATCACCTCATAATATGGGGGGGGGGCATAAAAATGCCACAGAAATTGAATTCTGAATAACTGCTAAATAAATAATTTTTTTTTAAAAAACTGAAAGTAGTTGAAATTCATGGGAGACACCACAATTATTCATACACGTTACAGATAATCCGGTGAAATGAACTGAACCAAATATCTTACGCTTTCCGTAATCCTACTTCTACTTATGATTATTTTTTTTTCCTTCGTGTTCCCCACTGGAACATAGGGCTTCAAGCTAGTGGCTTGAAGTTTCTGTAGCAATGTTTATTTTAGAGGACGGCGTTGCTAGCCTCATGCCCAACCTTTCCTCTTCACCAGCATTATTTCTGGCTTTGCGAGGTAAAGGAGTGCGTCGGCCGGGGATCGAACCCCGGACCATGTGCATGGTCGGCGAGCGTCCGAACCGCTATGCCACCGACGCACTCTACTTCTACTTGCCTGATCATAATTGTAATCCACAGTCTAACCTGGATTTATTTTATCTCTTCAGATAACTCAATGACTGTGTGTGTCTAAGCCAGTACATTAGACAACGGGTTACACTTATTTGTAAGGGAAACTGACAAAACTCGCCTACTTATACCATTGGAGTTAAACCTTGTAAATCAGTGGTTGAAACCCATAGAAATAAACTACAGCGTTAGTATTAGTTCAGAATTCATTCTCATGACTATCTACACGAACTGAGGGTATTAATGATTCACCACAGCCTGTCTATATACGATCAAGCTATGCGGCTGCGCATAAGTGATAACCTAATGCAAAAATGTTTTACTGCACGAAACTGGGTCTTCTCTGCAGGATACATCTTCGCGGCTTTTAAGTAGCGAAAAGTTCAGTAATTAATCATCAGTGTAGAAGTTAGTAGTGTCATCTGATAACCTCACAATTGGAATTGTCCCTGTTTATCAATTTTATGTAGAAATAGTACTACAAATGAATTATGAAACAGAATCCACCGAAAGATTAAAGTTCAGAATAGGAGATCATTCCTTTTTATTATTTTTTTTTATTTTGATTACAGCTTGATGCCACGCTGTATTTTCAGTACAAGTATGGAATTTTCAGCATGGATATCGGTAGCCCAAATTTTGCAGGCCGACCATAGATATCGGGTGTGCGCCGGCAGGGGATCGAACACCGGACCATGTGCATGGTCGGCGAGAGTCCTAACCACTGTGCCACCGACGCACAAAGATTAAAGTTCAGAATAGGAGATTAAATGTAAGCATCTAAGCTGTCACAAAGGAAAAGACTATATGCATTAGTAATGTAGGTTGCTACAAAGTGAAGATGTTTTTATCTATAAAAACAATATTTTTCAACCGTTTTTCAATAATATTAGTACAAGGCGTGAAGTATAAGAAACATGACAAACCTATCCAAAAAGTGATTGTCAATGCCAACAAAAATGAGAAACACTAAACTACAGAACAAACTACGATCTGGTACAAATATGATACAAAACCTTCCTCATAGGATATCTGAAACAATAAAGTTAAGAAGTATGGTGAGGGAGAGAGCGAGAAAGAGAATGAAGACTGAACCACTTACTTGATTCAACACACTACGTAAGTGTGAAACTTCTTCAGCATCTTTCAATCTGGATATCAAAGCCTCACCCTCTGCAAGTGCACGGTCTACATCTTTCTCCATAGCTGCTCGATTTCTATGAAAACTTGTCAGCTCATCTTCCATGCCTTCAATAGAAGCAGGTAAGTGTTCACCAGGATTGTGTGTTTCTCGTGCATTATGAAGCCAGGCTAAAGCTTCCTTTGTATGTGAATAAAATCCACAACCAAGATCTAAAGTTTCTCTCCGAACTTCAACAGCACGTGTGAAAGCTGAAATACGATGCTGTAATTCACTTGCATCCTGATGATAAAAAGAAAGCAAAGAAAATCAGGTTATCAATTACCAAGGGAAGAAAATGAAGAATAAAACTTTGGTACTGCGAAGGGAAAAAGATACACTCTTATACACTTTTTTCAACCCAGTCCGTGTACTGGACTATGAGGCACACACTTATTAAGCGAGGGCTGGTGAAACCACCCAGTTCCTCAGTCTGGAGTAGTTGGGGCAGAACTCGAATCCGGGACCTACTGGCTGTAAGTCGACTGCATACATTAATTTGCGACTTCTCCACTCACATGCATACCTCAGTGGTTTATTTATTTGCGGTGATAAATTCGATACTTTTTTATTTATTTTTTTTATTACAGCTTGATTCCACACCGTATTTTTTGGTACAGGTATGTATATCAGTAGCCCAAATTTTGCAGGCCGACCATAGATATCAGGTGTGCGTCGGCAGGGGATAGAACCCCGGACCATGTGCATGGTCGGCGAGAGTCCTAACCACTGTGCCACCGACGACATTATGTGACGCAATCCACATCCACTAAACACAACACCGTGGATGGCATTGCGGAACATCTTACTAGTCTTTAAGAATTTACTTGTACTCTAGTCACTTTTTTTGGGTCTTGTTCATTTTTTTTTACATTTTTTTCTACTCAAATAAAAGGAAGAACCAATATATCTTATGCTGTCTGATATAATTCAGACAAATCCTCCACTGAATCATCTCCTTTTAAAGAAATACTCTAAATTTAGTGTTTTAAGTATTTTGAATCATAATATTATAATAGGAACAGTGAATCTGGCATTTCATTGTATATATATATATATATATATATATATATATATATATACTCTTCATAATGTCAGACAATCTCCATTTTCTGTCTATACAAAGCAAACGGAAAAGTAAGCAGAAGTTTCTCCAGCTAACAGAATAATATACACACGGAAAAGTTGAAAGAAACAAATGAGTCAACTGCTAACCTGATAGAATAGCATACAGACACACAAAACATACTCATGGGCAAGCACGCATATACGCATGTAAAGGAGCCGACTACTGACTGCATATATACTACTACTATACTACATATGTGACTTACGTAAGAGGAGAAAAAACAAGAGAAGTGTATTGTATACACTCATTTAGCAAAAAAGGAAAAACAAGTCATACATACATTGCAGCATTATGATTAAATTAAAGTATACAAATAATGAGAATGAAAGAGTATTCAGTCTTCAATGACATACATTATCATATCAACAAACAAATGAATGAGTATACTCTCTAATCTATACGGAAAAAAAAAAATGGAAAACTACACAAAATAAGATATATGTACCATTATTTCTCAGTATCAATGCCAATATAAGCTTAATAAGGGTAAGTAATGCTAGGTGAGTGTGTCGTTCATTATACATGATGATAGATAGATAATATTTGACAAAAAATCAATAGGACGGTCTGCTGAACAGATGAACATAGGATAAGTAAATGAGAATTGTTAATAACTGTACGCTTGACTACCTATTCAGTCCTAGAACCTAGTGAATTTGTTGTCCAGTCACATTCATTAGCTTGTCACAGAAGAATTTCACTTTGTTTATTTATTTTTTTCAGCAATGATCTGGTAGAATTTAAAACTTGCATTGGCGACATATAAATATATATATATATATATATATATATATGCGCAGTAGATATGTCTGTTATGGTGAGCCAATAAAAATGCATATCAAAATTCATCAAAACAGGACAGTAATCAGGTTAGTCATACGAAAAATGCATATATCAAACAGACAGATGTAAAAAAGCAATGTTACAAAGTACTAATTACAACATACTGAGAATAAACTATGAATAAAACAAAAATAGGACAAACATTTGTGAGAGCAAAAGGAATAATTACACCTTGTTAATGACAGAGACTGAATTGAATGCACGTTGAATCAGAACAAAATCATTTGTCAAAGATTTTCCACTGACTGACTGACTGACTGACTTTAAACACACGCACAGGAAAGTGACGAGTAACAATCATTAAATTCACACTATTCATTCAAAAAACTACAAATTATCAGATAGAAGGACAATTAACTAACCTGTAATATTTCTTCTGGATCATCTGCCTGGGCTGCTAATTCATCCGCGGCAGAAATTAGTTTCTCTGCATTTGTCAAGGTATTAGAAGCAACCTAAATGAAAAGAAGCACTATGGTTATAACTACTACACAAACTGAGTACATTGTTGAATGAAAATTTTTTTATATTCAAGTTATTATAAGAATCCATGGTGTTATTTCAATAATGTAGAGAAGTATGAGGCTGCATAATTAAAAGTAATAGGAAAATGAATTGAGAACCTTAAACTTTAGACAAATTCGAAGCTCCTTATAGTAAAAAGATAAAAGTAAAGCTAGGTTTTCAGTTTATGAGGTAGTATTGTCAAAGTGACGTAATATTGCTCAAAGAAATGAAAAAACTTGAGCAGCAGTAGATGGTTAGTTGTTCCCTTTATCCCAGTCCTCAAAATTTAACTGAGCATTAATCCTAAATACTTTGCATAGTTATTTGATTGAATTTTAGATTTTCCCGTCGATTTTTTTTTATTCCTTCACGTTCCCAGTGGAATATAGGGCTTCAAGCTAGAGGCTTGAAGTTTCTGTGGCAGTGTTTGTTTTACAGGATGGGGTTGCTAGCCTCATACCCAACCTTTCCTCTTTACCAGCTTTTATTTCTGGTTTAGTGAGGTAAAGGAGTGCGTCGGCCGGGAATCGAATCCGGACCGCCCGCGTGGTAGGCGAGCATTCTACCATTGAACCACCGACGCCCTTCCCGTCGATTGATTGGACCAAATGCAGGTACATCCAACTGACGAGTCCCAAATAGGACGAAATGCGAAATAGATTCCACTGCTAGTCATCATCCACCAATAAAACTTTGCATAGTTATGGAGCAGGCGGGTTGGAATTGACATTGTAGTAATCTTTACCAAAGACCAAAAAATCAATGATTTATCATATTAACCTATCAACATATGATAATGGACTGGAAGAGGTATATGCTGGTTTTAAAAATAACTTCTTCAATAACCAGTTAAGTACAAACAATAACAGTTCAGTATTTATCAACGCAAAGACCAATACACAGATATCATTGTATAGAGTCAACTTTCTCGTTAGTTAGGTAGTAAGTGAGAACTTATACAATAAAAATGATTTCTGTCTGACAATAATTACGGTTTGCTGAGGATATTGCAATAAAACGGCTGAAACCTAACCCGTGTGTGTAAAAGGAGTCTGTCGTTGAACTTCGATTACCCTGGTGACTCATCCCTTATTAACTCTTTGTTTTCTAATTTCATTAACTTATTTTTCAAACCCCCCTCCCATTTTTTTCTGTTTGATGTCCATAAGAGATAATTATCCTTGATCTTTTGAGTTCTACTCACAGTATTACGTCATAATCTTATTATTTGACCTTTTGCACACCAAATCTTAATCTTCCCTTATCTAACTAAGTAATTGTTACCAATTTTTGTTACTGCCCTAATACTAAATCTGTCAATTAATTTTCGAGAAACTTCTCGCTAACAATATGCCTGTTGATAGACAAAAGTACGTCAAAATCTGGCTCTGAAATATGGCCAATACGAGTTGAAGACATGAAAAGGTTGACTGTTTTTGACCACAGATGTTTACGATCTCTCTCTCGCGTTAGGTGGTATAATAAGGTAAGTAAAGTTGACGTTAGGCGTAGGGTGTTGGGCAAAGAGGGGAAATCAATCGAAGAGGCTATAAAGTTACATAGATTAAGATGGCTAGGTCACGTGCTGCGCATGCCTAGTCATCGCCTCCCCCGATGGGCATTACTAGCTGATATAGGTGCAGGTTGGAAAAGAGTAAGTGGTACCATGCCAAACAAAAACATGGCATCAATCCATGAAATCCCTGACAGTTAAACTGAGTCAGGTAGGGAGATGCAGACTTCCGGGTTGGAGCCCTCGGGACTCTAAGAATCAATGGCTGGAGACAGACAATAGGTGACATGGCTCAAAATCGTTGTCAATGGCTTACGCAGATGTATTCAGTCTCTGTAATCTTTCATATTCCTTTCTACTATTACTCATTCTGTTTCACTCTTATACTTGTCAAAACTCTATTGATTCTCTTCACCCATCTTCTTGTCTACGTTTGTGTGCTATTTGGAACGTGGCAACTCAAACTGCTGCACTTCGGTGCAAAGTTCTATATTAAATCCAGCCAGCCAGCCACCCACGTCAAAATCTTAAATTACCTTATTGTATTAAAGAGTGTAGGTTGCGCGCAGCCAATGCAAAACAACGAAACAAAATGGATCCATGTTATTCTGCACCAATGTGTGTTCTTCCTCTGCTCAAATAATTACAAAGATGAATACATCTATTGTGCGATGATTTGCAATATATATATACATGGAAAACGAAGGAATACACTGATTTCATGCTCTCAGTTACATGAAGAAACGGTTGGTGAGTGTAGTCCTAAACACTTATCGCACTCGACTGAAAGGGAAAGTGTATTAGTGAATATGGTATTCACCAACTAACCTCTTCATACAAATACTTTCGGAGTGACTTATCAACGATTCCAGAGGTTAAAAATTATAATGACTATACTGACATTAGACAAACTATGCACAAGTCCTCTGCATACAACATGGATGTTAGGAACATAATTAAATATTACAATAAAGATAGCAAGATAGAGAGGGAAGATTGAGTGTGTGGCTAGCAACCTCACTCCATAAAAAAGAAGAGTACCACCACTGCTACTGGAACTTTAAAACTTCAAGCCCTATTTGCCACTAGGAATGCAAAGGAATAAAAAAAATGATACCATATGCAGAAAAATAGTGACTTCCTTACGTGTTCAAATTGCATGTGTGCACTGTACAATTGTTCTGCCCGTTGAATAGACTTGCCCACAGATGTTTGACGTTGTAAAAACGGTTCTCCATGTTCAGTTAACCAGGCTAATACTTGTCCAACATCCTCTTTAAACATTAATAAGGCTAAACGAGCTGTTAGACGACGTCTACGTTCGCCGAAAACCCGTTCTAACTGTTTAAACCAAGCCCATATCTGAGTAGAATTTAAGATAAGTAAAGATAACGATTAACTCTCTCAAATAAAATGTAAAAAATTAACAGTGGAAGACTCAGCTATATAACACAGCGATAGAGTCGATGAAATGAACCAAGTTACTATGAATAAATTTACAATGAACTCCTACAAATAATAATTAACTTTAATCCTGATAATATATGAATCAACATTTTACTTCAAGTAAAACATTAAGAAAGGAATAATAGGGTAAATAAAGTAATGAATGCTTACCTCATGAACAAGGTCTGTACAATGTTTACGACCTTGTGAATAATCGACAGCAGCTGTTAAAGAAGTATGAGATCCAGTTGGAACAGGTGAGCTTAGATGATTAGCTAAAGCTCGACCATCTGCACAAACCTCTTCGTGAGCAGATTGTGCTTCCTGCCAGTACTCCTATATAATGCATCAAAGATGGAAATGAAAAATTTCAGGTGGTGATCTAAACTGAATTTTTTTATAGTTTAGTAAACATTATAAAACAAGTCTAAGAATTCTGTAAATTTGGAAGAATTTAACGACAGCTTTTATTATAAGGCTATAATATTTGATATAAACTATTTAAAGAAAACGTCAAAGTTGATAAATATAAAGATGGACCAGACAAGAATTACCTGCAGTGTAATCAAGGCTTGATTTAACTCATGTACCGATGTTCCATTGACCTGACGCATTGCACTTTCCCAATGTGGACAGTTAGCTAGAAAGGATTCAGCCCTTGCATGAAAACTAGCGGATAGTTGTAATACACGAGAACGATCCTCCAGTGCTGCAGTGAATGACTTCCACTCGTGTTCCAGCTGGTTGGCCTACATTGCATATAAACAATTTAACAAAGATTAAACACCATGCATTTTGATAATAATGATTAGCATTTTTAGCATTGGCATTTTTACAAGATATGCTACTGAGGAAATATGAAATTACCTACAACCAGTTCTCAAAGCTTCCTACATTCATCAAGTGAAATAGATACAAACCAATTGTGTCTATACCACCCCATCCTTCTTTAAGGTTGTCAGACATAACAACTGATAGCGGAAGGCTAGTCATCTTTGACCACAAATGTTTGCGTTCTATCTCCCATGTTAAGTGGTATAATAAATTGAGTAATATGGACGTTAGGCGCAGAGTTCTAGGTAAGGAAGGGAAGTCAATAGATGAGATTGTGAAGCTACATCGAATAAGACGGTTAAGACAAGTGTTGAGCATGAAGAGCCACTGCCTTCATCGACGAGCAGTGTTAGTTGATATCGGATAAGGTTGGCGAAGAGTTCGAGGTGGTCAAGTCAGTACCTGGCATCAGTCTATAAAATTTCTGACAGTTCGTTTGAGCCAGCCATTTAGGGTGACGATTGGCTGGGCCCTCACAATGCTAAGGACCAATGGCTAGAGACCTTTGGTGTGGTTTAAGGTCGTTCTCAATGTCGCGGATGCATTCCCTCTTTGTAATCTCCCAGATACGTTACATGCCCATGTTTCTCCATGTTACCACTTTTTTCCCCAACACATATTTGTTCATTAGATTTCCAAACTTTTCTTCTTTCCTGTACTTTTGTATGCCATATGGAATTCGGCGATTTGAACTACTACACTTTTGTGCAAAGTCCCATATTGAAATTCAGTCAGTCACTTTATACCGCATTCTCATGTTCTAATCATATGAAATCTTTTTATTCACGTATCAACGGTATTTAACACTATTGTCAGTGATATCGTTTATCTGCTTTTCCTGCTTTCCTCTACCTCCAACATGTTCACTGGTTATGAGATCACTCGGAGCAACATTTCACCATACAATACCTCTTATTACTTTTCAATGACTGACAGATGTTTTATCCATATGACGATTGACCAAACGAAATTACAAGGAAGTTGATAGATGTTATTCAGATCCACAATGAAATATAATCAATTTAAAATATGATAACCTTCTAATCTGAATAATAAAAGTGAAGTCATGCCAGTAATTATTAGTACCAAAGTGTGTGTGTGTGTGTGTGTGTGTGTGTATGGAAAGTAAACAAAAAGTACAGAACAAAGTATAACTAGCAGTGAAAATGACAAGTTTTATATTTCATACTACAAAAACATGATTGCATATAAGTATAGACGATAGTTCTTCACTATGTGATAGACAAACCTGTTTTAAAATCTGTTGGCTGGCAAAATGACCTGTATCTGCAAGCATTCCAGCTACTCCTGTTAAACGAGCAACTTGTTCGCGAACAGTGCTACATTTAGCCAGAAATTGTCGGTGTTCAGCGTGTAAATCAGCAGCCTGTCACATTCGTAAAAAGAAAATCAGGCATCATTACATATAAACAAATACATGAGAAGAATTGCTACTTAAAACACTCATGAAATAAACGGAAATACACAACACGAAACTAAAACGAATGAACAAATAAATAAAATCTAAGACTGATACCGCCATGCCGCAAAGCCGTTTTATTGATCACCAGTGCTTGCCTTTACACCTTTAACTGGAAGCCGACAGTTGTCAAAACTCCGTTAGCTTGGACAGATTATTCGTGTACTATGAAAAAAATTTTGTCATGCGCAAAACACATTTTAAGCGTATTTAATAATTATTTAATACTGAAAAAGCTAATGAAAAACAATTGTGGGACACTAGACTAGATTAGTAAAATAAAGCAATAAAATAGATTATTCATCTACTAACTTTAGAACACTTTAGAACCATTCTAGTCTTGAATAATAAGAAAGAGGACTAATTGAAGAGAATTCAAAAGACATTATGGATTTTTTTTCAACACCTGACACCTTGCAATCCAGTTCACATTAGAGAAGGAGCCCAAATCAGAAATATCTTTTCTGGACGTCCAACTAACAAGAAGTAGACGAGATTGAACACTAAAAAGATCCCTCTACAGAAGGCTAACATGAAATGAACAACTTACTAACATTCATAGTTGGGTGACACTACATACAAAACGAAACCTGATACGTTCAGAATTCACAGCATTTGCAATCCTGACACTATGGAAGAGGAGCTTAACACTGAAAACAATTTTCTCCTTGAAAATGGTCACCCAGAATGTTTCATCACAAAATCCATGAAGCACGAACCACTGAAATCGCCCATACACACCTTCTGCTCCTAAAACACTTCTCCACTTGAATTTACAATTCAATAGAGACTACTCATTGGCAGAAATACTGAGAAACCACCTGACCAGTTCATTGAAGAAAACCTTCTTCGCGGCTGAATTTCCACCACCTTTCTCCACAAAACCAATAATTCTCATGAACGTGAAGGATGGGGCTACCACTACTGGCTTCATCAATGTGTATCTATCATCAATTCACCTGCTCGTGTGGATGTCAGGTATATCAGGAGAACTCAGTGTTTGCTATCCACTCGTATCATAGAACACTTACCCACAATCATGGTTTTATAAAGGAGAAGAAAGATCGCCTCGTCGCAGCTCTATCCTGGAACACTTCATCGAATCTAGACACCAAGCTAACCCACAAACCAACCTCAAATTCGTCTATGGAATACGCGGGAATCTCGTTAAAAGAGTACGAATTAAACTTCTTCAAACCGTAGAAGCAATGGTAATTTACACATTAAATCCAGGACTCTGCATACAGAAGAAATTTGTCCAGTCACTAAATCTGCAATAGACCTGGTGTGTCCTAACACTGGATACGTAACTTTTGTATTTTGTTTTTTTAACTGTATTATTTTCCTTCCTCATCCCCTATTAGATTTCTATCCCTCATTAACACTGTTGTTAACTTGATTCTCATTCAGTTTCAGTTAACTTCTATTCAATCCCGCCAATTATATTAAGTCACTTGATTCACTCACTTAACTTTATTTTAGTCTCAACCTGGTTGCCACTTTTCATACTACTTAATTTGTTGTCTGGGAAAATTTACAATTCTAATGACACATTTTTGGAAATATTTTCATTGTCCCCAAGGTATGTATTATATATATGCGATTGTACAGCTGGAGAAAGACGTCGCTGGAAAGAGTAAATCTTCTCTGAACGCCTTCTTTTATAAATAGTAATCAGCAAATGAAAAAGTAATCCGAGAAGTAAAGTCCCGAAACCTAATCACAGTTGAAAGACGCATAAGTCTGTTATCTCATGACTTTACACAAATACGATAATAAATTACATATAACTTACATGTGATGCTGTCTGCCCGATATCTAGATACTCCGTAAGGAACAAATGACGTTGTTGATCTATCCAGTTAGACATGCCTCTGGCATCTTCATCAAACAAGCGAAGCTGATAAATTTGTTCTAACCGGGATCGACCAGCTTCCCACTTCTGTTGTAAACGAGTACGAAACTCATAGAGTTGTGAAACTGTATGCCGAACCTGTGGAACCAACTGATTAAGAATAACAATAATAAACATTTAGCATCTATCCCATACGAGATGTGGTAACTTAACAATGCCAGTATAAACTATGAGAATTTTTATGTAGAAGATACCAAACACGGGGAGAAAATCGTTATTTAGTTGAGAAATTGTTTGATAGTGATCAGCTTCAAACTGCTTCTGATTATTGAGTAATGCCATCTGGAGATCTAAGATTAAGGCACTCTACTCATACTCATGCAGCCAGGTGAGGGCTTGCGGCGAGTTGCCATCTGAAGTGGTGACGACTAGTGGCGTCCGTCAAGGATGCCCATTATCCCCATTTCTATTCAACTTCATCATAGACGTACTAATTGACTTAACCCTTACTCACTTCAGAGACTCAGGGATTGACTTGCTACCAGGGAATAATCTCGTTGACTTAGAATATGCAGACGATATAGTCCTTCTAGGAGACGATGCTGAGAAAATGCCAGTTTTCTGAACACCTTGAGCAGCAGTCTTCGTATGTTTGGCATGTGATTAGCCCCTGTAAAATGTAAGATGCTGCTACAGGACTGGACTACGTCTACCCCTAGCTTAGTGATAGGGAGTGAAGTGATAGAACATGTTGACCACTTCACCTATTTGGGAAGTTGTATCAGCACCAACGGACTGATTGGTGACGAAATTTCAGCACGGATCCAAAAAGCTTGGGCTGCTTTCGCTAACTTACACAATCTCTGGCGTAGGCGTGACATCCGACTATCAACCAAAGAGCGTGTGTACTGCTCAGCAGTTCACTCCGTCCTTCTCTATGGCTCTGAAACATGGCCAATACGAGTTGAAGACATGAAAAGGTTGACTGTTTTTGGTCATAGTTGTCTACTATCTCTTTCTCACGTTAGGTGGCATAATAAGGTAAGTAATGTTGAGGTTAGGCGTGGAGTGCTAGGTAAGGAGGGAAAATCAACCGAAGAGGCTATAAAGTTACATAGATTGAGATGGCTAGGTGACGTGCTGCGCATGTCTAACCATCGCCTCCCCCGACGGGCATTACTATCTGAGTAAATGGTGGTCAAACAAAAACATGGCATCAATCCATGAAATCCTTGACAGTTAAACTGAGTCAGGTAGGGAGATGCAGATTTCCGGGTAGGGGCCCGCCCTCGGGACTCTAAGAATCAATGGCTGGAGACACTAGGTGACATGGCTCAAAATTGTTGTCAATGGCGCAGATGTATTCAGTCTCTACCATTACTCATTTGTTTCACTCTTATACTTGTCTAAACTCTATTGATTCTCTTCACTCATTTTCTTGTCTACCTTTGTGTGCTATTTGGAACGTGGCAACTCGAACTGCTGCACTTCGGTGCCAAGTTCTATGCTGAATTCAGAGAGAGAGAGATCTAAGATCAAACTTAGAAACAGAGATTTATGAGTTGAACACCACTTCATTCACGGTCATGAGCGGCTGCAAAGCAAGACTTCTTATACTATGAAAATATGAAGGAAAGCTTATATCATAATATTGGAAATGAGGTAAATGAACCTGTAAGAAATTGTGAATGAGTTACACCAGACACTGCATTATTTAATCTCAAAATAAAACACTGGTAATCAATTCAAAGAATATGAGTACTTTGAAACACACACACACATACAATCAAAAAACCGAATTATTTGAAATTCTTTCTACATAAACTATTAAAATTCTAATTGTCATTCATAATTTATGCGCAAAACTTGAACAAACTTATATGGAAATAACTGTCTATAGCTATATACGTTTCTAAGAAATTTAAAGCCTTACCAAACACATTTTGAAAGATACTCATTAAACAAGTTCTTCACTACTTTCAATATTATATTACCCCACCTTATCAACACACACATTATATTTTTATGCAGACAGAAGATAAATTACAAAGGCGTTTTTTAACAGTATGATATGATTCATCGAGTGGCAAAACAAATTTCGTGTACTTTTAAAAATGGTTAAGCACAACAAAATTGGAGACAGGCAAGTAATGGGATTAAACAAAGTATTGTAACAGCTGTCCCCTAAACACCCTCGATTACTTCATTTATCTGCAACTTGTATTGTGATTTGCTCTATCACACCTGGTAATTTTGAAAGGGAGCTTATTTATTGAAATTCATACCATTATCCTAGGGTAGTATACTGTAAGCGCATTGATTTTAAATGTTTCTGTTATCAAACCAACAACCAAAGGATTTTTCCACACAAAAAACTATGAAACACAATGGATTATATTATCAGTTCTCATACACTAAGTGCGATGAATAGCCTGGCACTCGAAAGTTATAACCCTAACCCTAACTGATCTCCAACTAACAGGCTGAACTGGTAAATTATTATTATTATTATTTCCTTTAGTTCCTAGAGGAACATAGGGCTTCAGCCATGCGTCTCCATTGCGTTCGGTTTTCTGCTAGAGTTTTCACCTGGCTCCAGGTCTGCCCACATGCTTTCATCTCCTCTTCACATGATCTCCTCCAGGTCACCCTTGGACGACCAACTCGTCGCTTCCCTTTCGGGTTCCACTCGAGGGCTTGTCTAGTGATGTCACTTGTTGGTTTCCTCAGAGTGTGGCCAATCCATCTCCATTTCTTCCTGCCTATTTGTTTCACAATCGGTTCCTGGTTGGTTCGCTCCCAGAGATCTTTGTTGCTGATCCTTTCCGGCCATCTGATCTTGAGTATTGAGCGAAGACATCTGTTAATGAAGGTCTGTAGCTTGTTTGAGGTGCTTTTTGTGACACGCCAAGTCTCTGATCCGTATAGTAGTACTGACTTCACATTGGAGTTGAAAATCCCGATTTTATTTTTGACGCTGAATGATGTTGACCTCCACACAGACTTGAGAGTAATGAAAGCTTGCCTTGCTTTCCCGATCCTTGCTTTGATATCCTCGTCAGTTCCGCCTGTAGTCGAAACAATGCTTCCTAAGTAGGTAAAGGAGGTAGTTTCTTTCAGGTTCTTTCCATTTATGCTGATTGCTGTCTGTTGTTGTTGTTGGTGGTGTTGGCCAGGGTCATTCTCTATTTAAATAAAACACTACACAAGCTCAGCCTTTTCATGTTAAAAAAAACTTAGATACAAAATAATCTGAAATGAATCGCTGGTCAGTGATAAACGGAAAAAACATTCTAAAATAATTGTTGAAACTTAATTAAAAAATTCTCAACTACCTGCTGAAAGTCAGGATTCATAGAAACCCAGGATGTCGCAAGAAAAGATGCGCCGCCACCAGAGGCGGTGGTATTAGAACATAATTGAGAGCCTGAATTGGCAGATGCATTTGCACCAGATTGTGAAGCAGTTATACCATAGCGTAACCATGAGGTTAGTCGATCAGCTTCGGCCTCAAGAGCTGGGACTGGAGCTTGGACAATCTGGGGAAAATATCCATAACCGCATGAAACAAGGAATGGGTGATAAATGTAGTGATAAAAAACTAAATTTAAAATGCTGGAGTAATAGAAACGACATATATAAAACTGCTGCTGTTGTGCTGGCTGTGGCTCTAAGGACCTAATTTTTCGTGCTCGCGAACAGCTACCAGTGTGGCTAAATGGTGTCGTAAAAAGCACCAACAGTTCTATATTAGATCACCTCATCCGAACAGACCACAAAACCACGTGTTGGGAAATTTTCTCTATGGTCCATAGGGTACCAAATGAATTATGACAAGCCCCTAGATACCAAACACTCCAAACAGCAGGAGCATTGCAATTCGCTTAAAGCAACCAGAGCTCCGCGCGAAAAAGAAAAAGGTTCAGCCAATTAAGCTATCTCGACCTGCTGTGGAACTAATAAACTCATAAATTCTGTGTTACTTTCCTTAATTTATTCGATATTCAGTTTAATGTTATATTGAGTCATATTCCCACTGCAATCTATCGATATTATAGATTAAATGTAATTTAAAACATTGATGTTTTAATTAACAACAATTCTTAAATTATCATGGTTACATAACTGCAGTTATCGAAAGGAATATTCTTCGTTCCCTGATCAATCTTTTAAAACTGAAAATTATGAAAAGTTCAACAAAATGAAAAATGGATGTGTAATAATCACTCACCTTCAGACGTACTGATCTATGCTCCTCCAGAGCACGTTTGGCCTCTTCAACAGTCTCTGGATTAAGTTTTCTGTCCAAAAAACAATAAAGCTGACCAAACTTGTCAGACATATCATTGGCGAATAAAAAGAATTCTTCAAGGCAACACCGAATTTTGATCCACTCTTCATGATGGTATGGGAGACTTCCCTTGAAAAATTGAAATGTATTAATGATAATTACTGTCAAACCAAACACCACGAGATACAAGTTACACATCTTACAACGTCTTAACCTTCCGAATCGTACAATTTTCCGATAGCTGGTACCTTGACGTGGTGGTCGGGCTTGCACATCACTATGACCCAACAAGCTACACTGGCTGGAACTATTGTTCCTGCAGGTCCTACAATGCCAGGAGGGTTGTTAGCATAGCGATTTGACTAAAAGAAGTTACCGGCACAGTTTAAGAATATTTTTGCACTATGCTGAGGGTCAGTGAGCGATGTTGTACTGCTGGGAAACAGGGATTTAACAGTAGTAAGGTGTTTCCCTCAGACCACCAGCATATCAGTTATGTTGTCTCTCCACTCTGAAGAGAGTGTTAGAAAGAGTCGACCCCAAAAATTGTACATTCCGACTTACCCTACAGTGGTCCGTAACCGGAGGTAAATTTACTAATATGGAACCAAACCAAGAAACCAGTTTATACAGGCCGTGTGTGACCGGCCAACTCATCCGAACTGATTCAGAGAAGACTGATTTCGGCGACCTCTGATTATGATGAGGAGCAAAAGCTATTCAAATGCAAACTGTCAAGTCTCCACAACGACCGTGAACAGTGGTGGGCGAAAAAAGAGAAAGAGATGGAAAAGGCATCGGCGACTGGTAACGCCAGACAACTATTCAGGCTTATCAAAGAAACAGGTGGTTAAAGGCAAACAATAAGTGAAACAATCCCTGAGAAAAATGGCAACATAATTAGCTCCCAAGATAGACGACTAGAACGTTGCAAAGCACATTTTGAGGAGCGATTCGATTGGCCTACAGCCATGCTCAACTTACCCAACGTCCAACACCTCCCTGAACGGGATATAAACACAGGTCCTCCAACTGAGGTTACTAAAGCTGTCACCAATCTGAAACAAGGCAAAGCAGTGGGACCTGATGGAATGATTCCAGAGGTATTTAAGTACGGGGGAGACAGTTTACTGTCCCGTCGTGTCGGTGTAAGTCACTGATCATCCCGATATACAAGAAGGGAGACAAGTCTTCCTGTGATAATCACAGGGCGATTAGCTTGACTAATATCGTATCTAAAATCCTAGGCTCAATAATCATGCATAGACTAAGTGGTGCTCAGGAGGCACAAACACGAGAAAGCCAGGCAGGCTTTAGGCCAGGAAGAGGGTGTATTGATCATATCTTCACCCTCCGACAGATTCTAGAATATAGGCATTCCTACCGGCGCCTAACAATCATTATATCTAATAATAATAATAATAATTTGCTTTATTCCAAAACAGTACTTGTGATACAGAATGATATTCTCAGCATTTCTTGACCTAAAGGCGGCATCCGATTCCGTCAACCGAGAGGTTCTCTGGCGATGCTTGGCTGTAGAGGGAATGCCGAGAAAATACATTGCACTGATCAAGGCACTCGCTCTACTCGAACTCATGCAGCCAGGTAAGGACTTAAGGCGAGCCGTTGTCTGAAGTGGTGACAACTAGTGGTGTCCGTCAGGGATGCCTACTATCCCTATTTCTATTCAACTTCATCATAGATATACAAAAGGACTTAACCCTAACTGCTGATTTCAGAGACTCAGGGACTGACTTGTTACCATCAGGAAATAATCTCGTTGACTGAGAATATGCGGACGAGAACACTGTAAAAATACAGAGTCTTCTGAACACCTTGAGCTGCAATCTACGAATGTTTGGCATGCCATTCGCTTCCGCCAAATGCAAGATGATGTTACAGGATTGGACTACACCGACTCCTATATTAGAAATAGGAAGTGAAGTGGTAGAGCACGTTGACCGCTTCACTTACTTGGGAAATACCATCAGACCCAACGGGTTGATCGCTGACGAAATCTCAGCACGGATACAGAGGGCTAGTTTCGCATATGCCAGTTTACGCCGTCTCTGGCGTAGACGTCATATCCAGCTGGTTATCGACCAAAGGGAGTCTGTACTGCTCAGCAGTACGAACCATCCTCCTTTATGGCTGGCTGTGAGTGAGACCTGGTCACTGAAGGTGGAAGACACGAAGAGCCTGGCTAGCTGTCTTTGATCATAGGTGTCTGTGTTCTATCTCCTGTGTGAAGTGGTATAACAAGGTGAGCAATATTGAGGTTACGCATCGGTCGAGTGCTAGGTAAGGACGGAGCGGAAATCAATCGACGAGGTTGTGAAGCATCTGCATCAACTGAGATGGTTAGGACATGTGTTACGCATGCATCCCTAGTCATCGCCTTCCTCCACAATGGTCAATATTAGTCAGCTGACATAGGGTCAGGTTAGAAAACAGCTAGTTGTGGTCAAACCAAAACATGAATTCATCAGTCAATGAAATCCACAACAGTTAGTTTAAGTCAACCAGCCACGTAGGAAGGTGTAGACTTCCTGGTTGACGGGTTGGGATCCTCGGGACGGTAGAAACCATTGGCTGGAGACAATCGGTGACATGGCTTAAAATCGTCCTCAATGATGGCGCTGATACATCCACTCCTTGTGATCCATAATATCCAATAAAACTATATTGTTCTTCGATATTACTATTCTGTTTTCCTCATATCTCTGTTTTGAATCTCTTTTTACCTTCTCATCTTGATCTGTGTGCTAAGTGTGGCGACTAGAACTGCTGCACATCGCTGATAAGTTCTGTTGTAACCAGTCAGCCTATAACCACCCAGAGCGCTGTGGTGCAAAAACAGATGGTAATCTAAATCAACTACCTTCCACTTCATAGGACCAAATCATAGACTATCTCTTTTAGGAATAATATGTAATGAACTGTTCAACATAATAATAATAAAAGCCTGTGAAACAACAACCAAACCACCAGAGCTGGTGTGTTTCCGACACGTTTCTTATCGAAAACAGGTTTAAACTGGTCCAAACATCTACTATCAGGCATCACAATTCCTACCTTAAGGAATATGTTTTGACTTTAAAGACAGCCGTAACTGCCCATGTCCAACCACCAACTACTTTCCCACCTGACTGGTAATCAAACATTCTAAGCCACTATTGTCATGATATAATGCTTCATACTTGCCCATATGTATATTCAGGTAGAAAAAGTAAGCGATAAACACTAATATTACCACTTGTAACTTGATAGTGATTCGAAAGACCAGGCTAATATTGCTTTACCTAGATACTATTATAATGAGTACATTGAGTCCTTAATATTGAACAAAGTGCCTTTGGTTCATTGAACTACGCACTCAATTTCTGACCAGTGGGTTATGTGTCTGAAATCTACCTAACCTACCAAGGTTCCTGTGGCCAGATAGTATCACTAGACCTCACGCAATAAGCATGACCAATCGCCAAATGAATTTATATGCATGGCCCTAAGGTAGTACACAACTGAAAACTTACGGAAAATCAGTTCTGAAGGAGTGCTCTATGGTTTGTAACAGTGACGTAGTTGGGAAAACCTTACAGCCGGTTGACTAACTCGACTACGTAGAACTCAGTACAAAACTGCCTTAGTTATAATCATCATACTGACAGCACACAAACACGGCGAAATATGGTAAAACCGGAACGGATGGAGATGTACAGGAGAATGATTTAATAAAGACCAGCGAATATTTTCGGAATATACAACACGACAAGGAGTGAATAGATTTGCTCTACTGTAAACCATTTGGAATCATTTATTCATGTAAGTAGATAGGGAACCAAGAAGTCCATAACAAAAGATAATATGAAAGAACCTCCAAAACAGTAGGACTCATATGGCATAGTTGATGAAGTGATTAAGTAGAGCTAATGTTTACCACCTAAACTTTAGTAGTGACATTACCACGCGCTGTCAACCCCTTAAGTTGTATGATTCCTTATGATCACGCAAAAGTCTCAGTAAACACTTAAAACACTTCGAACGACAGGACGAGAGCTTAAGGTGTCTTTTGTCACTGAACGGATGAGAGCGAAAGACACCATACTTCGCACTAAAATGAAAAAACAGCATAAAAGCCTGTATGCAACAGCGTAAACGAAATATAAATACAAGGAAACCTTGGCAGTCTCGATCGGTTAGCACAAAACTGCAGCAGCAATAACTGTATATGCTTGAGACCCAGTTGCCTAAATACGCCATCAAACTTATTTCAATCACTTGACTCTAGGGTTATCAGGATCGATAACCTAACCGAGAAGATAGCAAAAACTTGATAATTTTTGACTAAATGTCAACAGTCGTAGCATGCAGAAGATTTAACACAACAACAAAAGCAACCAATTATTTACAACTAGAATAGTCAGATTATAATTCTTCATATAACTTAGCTATGAGCTTCATATAAAGTCACGGCTATAACAAGTGTCCATAATAAGGTGGCAGAAAAGTATTAACAATAATCAGAAAAATAACTAATGATTTAAGTGAATATTGAAAGTATATTAACTATGCAGCACTAACCTCCATTTCTGCGGTTAACTGACTTGGGTCGACTTCACGAAACAAAGCATCCACGGACACTAACTGGATTTCAAAGCTGAACTTTCCAATTGCCAGTTGAGCTTTATGTTTCTCGAGAAACTTGTCAGGCTTAATTATGAAAGTCAAAGCCACGTCTCGACCTAAACATTCTTCTAACACCTGAAATGCAATTATGCCAAAATGTAAAATTAACTTGCCTTTAAGATTGGTTTAACACTGTGCCAAGTTGTCCCACTACGCATATCGATTATCACCACAAAGCCCAATCGTTTCACTTTATCATCTGGAAGGTATGTTAAATACCTCACAAGGACGTATAGATCTTCAAGGGGGATTTCATCAGCTCGAGAGTTGGACGGAAAGCACAACAGTGGCCCACCTCTTCTTGATCTGCCACCAGGTAAAAGTGCGATCTTCTCTTTCAACAATGGAATAAGATCTACTGCACGTAGACTGGTACCAGATTTGTGACTTGAACGTGATCCACTACTGGTACATAAGCTCCCTGAATTGCTACTAACTCCACTTGTTGATGTAAGTGTATTTATGCTCCCTCCACATGTACTTCCAAGGTTTTGAGGGCTCACGGAGGATCTGAAGGCATTTTGGCTAACATGGTAATGGTAGTGCTCAGAGTTAGGTTTATGTGCTACGTGTTGTTGAAGCTGCGGTCTGTGGTGATGCATACGTGAATCGGGAAAATTAGGCACGTTCGAGTGATGAACATTAGGAGTTGCATAATTAGAATTTTTATAAGGCGCTAATGACAGCTGTGTCTGAGTGTTGGGTTGAGAATTGTGAAAGCGCCTTGGGTGCATAAATTGATGTGAATGGTGATGAGAATGACACCGAACATGCTTAGACCTATTTGGACGATAAAACTCAAGAACTTCTGGGTCAAGACTGCTATTAGCATAATCCATTATATAAAATCCATAGAATCACGAGACATTTGTTTGCAAATTCATTTTAAAGTTATAAAACATCCAACAGTACCAAAACCAGAAAACACAAAACGCCCCTCAGGTATTACACTTCGCCAAAAGGCGAAAAGTATCACCTGAAAATTTTTAGAATAAACCGCGTCACAACTGGCTTAAACACGTTCACGACACAATATGTTATCACCATTAGACAACGACAGGGGATTAGTTTGCATGTCTCATTCAATAAATTCAAAATGTTAATGTAAATCGTGTACTTCTGGGTATTTTTGGGAGGAACCAATGTATCTCTCAAACGTATTTTGGAGTACTGATATGTGAGTCAACTCAGCAGCTCTAAGCATATCTCCGTCTTTCGAGTGTTTTTTATGGGACATGTTAATATTTAATCCTTTCAACGAGATTTCACCCTGATGGGCTCGGTTTGAGTTATTATTTAAAATTTGTAATGAAAACGTTTCATCAATTTAACATATCAAATCATAAGCGCACATTTACATGAGACCAAATCAGATCTCTCAACTTTTATATTTTGGCTAGTTTTCAGCCACTAAATAAGTTTAAAAATGATCAAGTGGTGCTTGGTCACAAGACAGTGCCTTTTATTTCTTTTTCTACTGGGATTTTACTGCCAGACACACCTTCCGTTTTACTTATTACTGTAAAAAACGCCTTCGGCAGTGTCGGTCACGAAGTAATTTGACGACTACTTCAAGAAAATGGAATGCCTCAGACATATGCAAACATCATCCTGAAGCTATATCATCACACGTTAGGCCGCGGAACAAGAACAGAATGAGAAGCCGTGAGCTGTGTGTCCGAGGGTGACATTGAAATTATTAGATTAGTAAAAAGTGGAAGCTAGATAAAATATAATATATATTTATTCCTGTTTATGCAGGAACATACCAATTGTACAGGCATGGATAAGTTATAATATAAATTACACACATTTCGATGTATGGTGAATTTACATTTTGGTTGTTCTTTCTGAACGGAACGGTCTGCTAAATAGTCTGTCTATGTAACGCATAAAGAGATATAGAAACATTGTCTTCGAAATAATAGAGAAGATTTGTAGCTCAGGTGGATGATTTGCACTTTTAATTGCAAAACATTGTCTTCGCATTAACAAAAAACCCAGACATCAGATGAATGTAATATAAATATCTGGGAAAAATAAAGCTTGAAGTCAATTCTCCTATATAACTTTGTTGTGAACAGCATCCTTGAGTTAAAGTTAATTGATGTATTATTTTGAGGTCAGTGATGTATTTATTCCATTTTTTCAGCAGTCTAATCGTAGTTTTATAATAGGAAAGAAATTTGATCGTGGATACAAAACTAGATAAGGTCATGTTAGATTGTTTTACTGCATGGAACACAATGAAGTGGCAGTATGTTGCTGAAGCCCTTTATTAATAGTAAAGTGAAGGGCGAAATTTCACAATCAGAAGCCAATTTGAGTGTGCAGCATTTTTGGATGTAGAAAGATGTCAAAGGGTACCCGAGATAGTTATCTGATAATAGGCGTAAACATCCTCCAATCCAGACTTTACTTATCCAACTTATTTAACCAAATTAGGATAACAGTCACACCGCCAGAAAAGTGAAGCATATTTCTCAGTAGATATTGTCGAGTAGCGACGTATGCTCATCCAGGAACAAATAAAAGCAACATGATAGCTTAGCAAATGACAGGAGTGTCTCAAGACGTACTCTCATCTTAATCACTCGCCTTAAACAGTGAATACCAACCTCCGATGTCGACTGATGGCTGTTAATTTTGGAGGATTATTTATCATTGCCAATTCAAACTAAAATTTCCCCAAGGAAGGTCTCATTCAACTACCTAGAAAAACGAAGTGGTCATGAATCCCAGATTCATGAAGATGTATTTATTCGTTACTGGGTTCGCGCTGGAGCTGCACTTAGTAATATACCAAAATCAGAGGCCGATCGGGGACAACAAAATTCCCTTCGTCCACCCAAAGGCCACCAATGAAACCCAAGTCCTTAGATTCGGACAGAAAACGAAATTGGGCTTAAGCAACAGCTTCCATGGCTTTTAATTGTTACTGACCCAGACCTAGCATTCATCGGCCTAGACATCCCAGGAAGGCATGACTTACTAGCGGACACTATGAAAAGATAACTCACAATGAAAGAAACGTCCAGTTGTATGAATTACGAAGTTAGTGATGACCATTTATTAAACTCACTACAATCTCCATTGGTATCGACCGAGGGGATGGAGCAAATACTGGAGGAATTCCCAAATCTAAAGATGCGTTCCTTTAGTACATATGGCCCCCATAGCTTGCTGAACAAGAAGATTAGCCCTGGACAAACTAGAAGTAGTGAAAATCGAGCCTGACTACATGATTCGGCCAGAGATTATCAGGCCCTCAGATAGTTAGTTGGCCTCCCCATTACACATGGCAATCAACGGCCTTGCGGCGACCACAGGGTTCTTATAAGCATACCGTCCCAATAAGACATCGAGATGGCCAGATTTAGGTCTTTATTAATAATCTCCTAAGTGTCATAGTGCATAATAAAATATACTGAGTCCGCACTCAACCAAAATCCTGGTAGCTGAGAAAGGCATAGCTGAAGGAGCTACTACTGCCTCATTGGGGTTGTATGGGTTTGTGAGGATGCCATTTGATCTCCAGAACGTTCCATACGCTCTTCGAAGAACTAGCTATTGATCCCCGTAAACCCGAAAGCTTCCCGAAAATGATGAGTTCACGTCACTGATATGTGAAACAAACTTCCTTGAAAATTCACGCATAGCAGCTGCTTCTACATTTTGATTATTCATCTTGTATAACATGGATAGTCACAGTTTTTGGGCACGTCCTTTATCAGTAAATGTCTTTAAAATGTGCTTTACCATTTTACATACATAACTGCATAGATTGTCATTCGAAAACTTGATGTCATTTCATAAAGAAATTCATCATGCCTATAAAAATGGCACGCAAATTCAAGTAAATATTTGTGTCAATAATATAAAAATAGAACTTGTGCGCTATGGTAGAATGCGACACCATTTCAGATATATGTATTTTAAATATCTCACAGCGATTCAGTATTTACGAGTGAATTGAGTTTTGAGCGTAAATTATTACTCATAACCATATAAGCTATAGTCACAAGGCTTCACAATCTGTCTTATATGTTTCCTTTCTATCTGCCTCTCCAAGGGAGGCTGGAGGAACTGTGTGACCAAAATTGATATGATTATGAACAATAATCCATGCCCGAAACGCCACCTAGATGTTAATACGGAATCATCGTGCGACATTTAAGATTAACTTATCTGATGTAAATATTTGTATATTATTTATACAAAGTAAACATTATTATTTATGAACTTATTGCTTGAACTTCCGTCTGCCAGAACGTACATGGATGACCTGCTCGTCGCCATTCCCGATATAACTGTACAAAAATACCGAATTCTGTCAGTGTTACAGAAAGTATAAGGCAACAGCATAACAACTGATCAAAGTAAGTGCGTTTTGGATGGAGGCGATAGAGTTCCTGGGACATGTTGACAGCACTGGAATCGCATCAACGCCCGAAAAGGTGAATACGACCAGCGAATATTTGCCTCTTGGTTGCCCTACTTAGCTCCAAATATTTTGGAGGTGATCAGCTTACATCGACACTTTATTCCCCTGAGTGGCTCACTAAGCGAAAAGCCAAGAGACTTTCGATTATCGGAAATGAGCAGCCGATGCAATCCCTCAGAGCTGGCGAAAGCCACAACCTTGGAATATCCTGATACAGACTCTTTACTTGCTTCGACTGCAGATGCATGCGTACAGCTGTGGGAATAGCTGTAAATCAGCTGGGTGACAACGCCTGGTAAATGCACTCTATTCTACAGGGCTTATTCCTGCAGAGACGATTCACAGAACACTTGGCAGAGGGCTGCAAGCAATATGCCCAGCCGTTAAATGCTACTGCCATATGGTAGAATGCAGACCATTCATGATATACACAGATAAGAACCTCTCACCCACGCCCTCAACATGGAAACCAACAAGTAGTCCCACGCGAAGTTTGTCACCCTAAATTTAAATCGGTTTACCCATGATATAAGACAAATTAATTGGTCAAAGAACTGTGGGGCTGATGCACTCTCCAGAATGACATTGAATACAGTGCAGCGAACTACTGTGAACTTTAAGCACTCGGCTAGAATAAAATAACGACGAGGAATTAAAGTAGCTCTGCTCTAAGATTCAAACAGTTACCATCTACAGAGAGCAACTTCATATAATGCGACGTGATAATAAATCCACCCAAGCCCATCATCGCTAAAATTACAAGAAGAGCGAAATTCAGCCAAACTCGTTATTGCGTCCGGCCGGAAAAATCCAAGTCAAATAATCTCTGAAAGATACATCTGGCCAAAAATACAATGTCGCGTCCAGAAGTGGCGGAGACAGTACACAAATTAGCAGACGGCGACGCCTTGCCACCAGAATTATAGAACCGCCACACCTCACAGCACAAAATAATTCGTATCTGGAAAATATTCGCCGAATTAAATAAGATATTTCACTCTAAAATCACGTCCGCAGGCAGCTTACCAGCAGCAAGAATTTGACGGCAAAAACACGAATGAATATGTGACAAATAAACCTGAACACCTGATCGTTCCAAGTGGGTATACAAGCAAGGACCCAGTACACATCCGTATCCTTCTGCACATATGTTGAGTCAAAGTTTGCCTTCTGGTTCACTGCGTACCAGAGTTCTCCTTGTAGCCTACAGTTCCAGATCGGCCACTTGATATTTGACATCGAGCTGAGACAAGCTATGATACAGTTAGGAAACCAGTGAAAGAGACTCTTGGAGATTTGCCACGTATCTGCAAAAAACACAACTTCCAACTCGACAATGTAAAAGATTAAGGTCTGGATTATCACGATATTTGAAGTAGATCTACACACTGATTTCAGAGTAACAATCACCTCCGCCCCCCCCCTTCACGACCGTATCGGGCTTTGAGATTCTCTCTCATCCGTGCCACTTGCGGTTGAAACGACTCTGCTTCTGGATTCCTCCAGTTAATGATGATTGTCGTTTGTTGGGTATCTTTACTACCCCTATATTCTGTGTGTCCGCCCAAAGTTCTGTT